AGCCTGGGCAACAAGAGCAAAACTCTGTCTGATAAATAAATAAGTAAATAAATAAATAGGCCGGGCACGGTGAGTCATGCCTGTAATTCCAGCACTTTGGTAGGCCAAGGTGGGCGCATCACCTGAGGTCAGGAGTTCAAGACCAGCCTGGCCAACATGGTGAAACCCCGTCTCTACTAAAAATAGAAAAAATTAGCTGGGCGTGGTGGCAGGCGCCTGTAATCCCAGCTACTAGGGAGGCTGAGGCAGTAGAATTGCTTGAACCCAGGAGGTGGGAGACAGAGGTTGCAGTGAACCGAGACTGTGCCATTGCACTCCAGCCTGGGCAACCAGAGTGAAACTCCGTCTCAAAAAAAATTAAAATAAAAAAAAAACAGGCCGGGCGCGGTGGCTCAAGCCTGTAATCCCAGCACTTTGGGAGGCCGAGACGGGCGGATCACGAGGTCAGGAGATCGAGACCATCCTGGCGAACACGGTGAAACCCTGTCTCTACTAAAAAATACAAAAAACTAGCCGGGCGAGGTGGCGGGCGCCTGTAGTCCCAGCTACTCGGGAGGCTGAGGCAGGAGAATGGCGTGAACCCGGGAGGCGGAGCTTGCAGTGAGCTGAGATCCGGCCACTGCACTCCAGCCCGGGCGACAGAGCGAGACTCCGTCTCAAAAAAAAAAAAAAAAAGAAAAAAAAAAATAAATAAATAAAACTGTTCTTACAACTTGTCCAATGAAATAAGTATTAGTACTTCTATCACTACAACCAGAAAACATGTACTGAAAATGAAAATTGAATAAAATTCCTCTATAAAGGTTTAAATGACCTATCAGGTAGCAGAAATGTACTTGAAGTTGTATTCATCTTCCCAGAATTATGGGTTTAACAACCAAACATTGGTCATAAACTATTTTAGCAATTTAGAACAGTCATCACACACACCCACTCACACACACACATACACACACATTTAATTTGGAACATTTTATCTCTTCGTGATGAATCATGGAAAGCTTAATAATGGAGGCTTTAAGGCCTCAGGAAGGGCCAGGCAGCCATCAGGGTTCTCCATGAGTCTGTGCCTAATATTGGACTTTTATTTTAATATCAGCTTTGTTTCTCTAATTTAGGTGCATAGTATGGTTTATTAGATGGGTTAGCATAGGTAATTTGAGTTGGACCATGGAATTTATTCAAATTGCACATCTTAACAATTTCCACACTGGCTGATTTAGTATGACAATTTGGCAAAGTATTTTCTTGGTATTCAATTATTTATATATTTGAGACGGGGTCTCACTCTGTTGCCTAGGCTGAAGTGCAGTGGTGCAGTCTCAGCTCACTGCAACCTCCCCCTCCCAGGCTTAAGCAATCCTTCCACTTCAGCCTCCCAAGTAGCTGGGACTACAGACACACACCACTATGTCCTGCTAATTTTTGTATTTTTTGTAGAGACAGAGTTTCCTTATGTTGCCTAGGCAGGCCTCAAACTCTTGGGCTCAAGGGATCCACCTACCTTGGCCTCCCAAAGTGCTGGGATTTACAGGACAAGGCACTGCCCCAGCCTTCAATTAATTCTTGTCCTGTTTGGGTTAGCAGTTTTATAAACCAGTCATTCCTTTTATTAGAGTTCTGAGAATTCTTACCTAGTCCAAATGATATGATCCTAAAGTTATGAGAAATCTGTTTTTTGTTTTTTGTTTTTTTTTTTTGAGACAGAGTCTCGCTCTGTTGCCCAGGCTGGAGTGCAATGGTATGATCTCAGCTCACTGCAACCTCCGCCTCCCAGATTCAAGCGATCCTCTTGTCTCAGCCCCCCAATAGCTGGGATTACAGGCACATGCCACCATGCCCAGCTAATTTTTGTACTTTTAGTAGAGATGGGGTTTCATCATGTGGGCTAGGTTGGTCTCAAACTCCTAACCTCAAGCGATCCACCCGCCTTAGCCTCCCAAAGTGCCGGGATTACAGACATGAGCCACCGCACCTGGCCAGAACTGAAGACACAACACTCTAGGATTTTGCTTGCGGAGTTTTCAGAAACTGCATCAGAATTAAGCAATTAACCATGGAAACAACTTAAAATGGGCATAAAGGCATAATAGCTGGGCGCGGTGGCTCACATCTGTAATCCTAGCACTTTGGGAGGCCAAGGCGGGTGATGAAAGGTCAGGCATGGTGACTCACCACCTGCAATAGCAGCACTTTGCAGGGCTGATGTGGGCAGATAGCTTGAGCCCAGGGGTTCGAGTCCAGCCTGGGCAACATGGCGAATCCCCGTCTTTACAAAAAATACAAAAATTAGCTGGGCATGTTGGTACCTGCCTATAGTCCAAGCTACTTGGGGGGACTGAGGTGAGAAAATCACTTGAGCCTGGAGGTTGAGCTGCAGTGAGCTGTGATTATGCCACTGCACTCCAGCCTGGATGACAGAGTGAGACTCTGTCTCAAAAAAAAAAAGAAAAAGAAAAAGAAAAAAAAAGAAAGTTCAAACAGGACTGAGGGGTAGAAAGGAAAAAAGAGGTAAGTGTTAGGAAAAAGGTGTATTGAAAATCCCTCAGCGGGCCAGGCGCTGAGTTGAGATTGCACCATTGCACTCCAGCCTGGGTGACAAGAGCAAGACTCCCTCTCAAAAAAAAAAAAAAAGAAAGAAAAGAAAAAGAAAATTCCTCAGGGTTTTTCTAACACTATTTTTATCTTCATTTTATTTATTTATTTATTTATTTATTTATTTATTTATTTATTTATTTTGAGATGAAGTCTTGCTGTCACCCAGGCTGGAGTGCAATGGCATGATCTTGGCTCAACGAAACCTCTACCTCCCAGGTTCAAGTGATTCTCCTGCCTCAGCTTCCCTAGTAGCTGGGATTACAGGCATGCGCCACCATGCCTGGCTAATTTTTGTATTTTTAGTAGAGACGGGGTTTCACCATGTTGGTCAGGCTGGTCTAGAACTCCTAACCTCGTGATACACCTGGCCTCCACCTCCCAAAGTGCTGAGATTACAGGCGTGAGCCACCGCACCTGGCCTATTTTTAACAGCTTTAATTTTAACTTCATCAGCTATATTAGCATCCAATCTATAAAAATTATTACATTGGAATCAGGCGTGGTAGTGTAATCCCTGCGTTTTGGGAGGCTGAGGCAGGAGGATCACTTGCGCCCAGGAATTTAAGGTTACAGTAGTGAGCTATGGTTTCTTCATTGCATTCCAGCCTGGGCAGCGGAGTGAGACCATATCTCTAAATATATAGATATGATTACTTTGGATTTGAGAGTCAGAGAATTTAGAGGAAACTAGGCTGTTGTTTTCACATAATATTTTTCTTTGTTGCTTTTGCCTTTATGCAAAGTTTTCCTTTATCTTTGGAGAGTAGAAAAACTGTGGATTTTTTTGTGTTTTTTTCGGTTTTTTTTTTTGAGACGGAGTCTCACTCTGTTACCCAGGCTGGAGTGCAATGGTGCGATGTTGGCTCACCGAAACCTCCCCCTCCCGGGTTCAAACGATTCTCCTGCCTCAGTCTCCTGAGTAGCTGAGCCACCACGCCCAACTAATTTTGTATTTTTAGTAGAGACAGGGTTTCTCCATGTTGATCAGGCTGGTCTCGAACTCCTGACCTCAGGTGATCCGCCCGCCTCGGCCTCCCAAAGTGCTGGGATTACAGGCGTGAGCCACCGCGCCCGGCTGCAAGAGGCATACTTTATAAAGGTCCAAGGATAATGGAAATAGAAGACATTAATGTAACATGTTCTTGGGAACTAATTCGATACACAAAGTATTTTATCTTTGACTTGTTTCTGGACCTCTGCTTCATTCTGCAACCTGCAGTCAATTACCATGGTGTCCATCTATTATTAGGAGCCTTAAATAGCTCCTTAATTCACACTTATTCTCTTCAATCGATGTGTCAGACTGTGGGGGCCACTTAATTCCCATTCCAAATTCTTGGGAAAGGAATTTAATTGGGTTGAGCTTAGGTCAGGAGCTTACTGAAAGAGCAATCAACTGGGGCCCGGGGACAGGGTGCACTGTGTGAATGAGGCTTCTTTTTCTGCAAATTTGTCAAGCAGAGGCGGACTGGACTAGCTATATAATTTTGCAGGGCCCTGTGCAAAAATGAAAATGCTGGGCTCCCTAATTCAAAAGTTTCATTATTGTTTCCAAAAGTTTGCAATTGCAGACAATACGGCAATTAATAACCTTGTGTATGTGTACTTTTTCACTGTCGGAGACCTAGCCCGAGTACTATTTTCTGTAGCGAGCCTTTGACGTTCTTTGCTTTTTCTGATGAGCCACAGCATTTATAGTAGGAATTTATTCACATAAAATGTGCTCCTTCGCTAGATACCAGTAACTGGCCTTCTCTAATTGCTTTGGGTATCTCGTTGGAGTTCTGTATGATTGAGCTCCGGGAAACTCAGTCCACCCCTCATTCCAATTCTTTTTCACAGCGTCCCAGTTAACACTGGGTAAACGGTAAAATCTTAGTAAGGTTTTTATTATCCTAACATAAACAGGCCTAACATATGTTGTCGTACCTTTCTGTAGGATTAATGGCATATCTTTACAAATGAGAAATACTTTTCACGAGACTGAAACAGCCTGCAACGCCGCCTACATTCAGGGTAAGTACGCGCGTTGGTGAGGTCAGAGACGCTAGACACCTGAGCACTAGGGGACGACCTTCCCTGCTTTCCTGCATTAGTAGGACTTGCCCGGAACCTTTCCTGCGAAATCTGAGGTAGCCCGCCCGGACAACTCCGCTGAACACAACAGGCCAAGAACTAGTAGGTTAACTGTATGCCTGGAATTTCTAGCTCATCTACATGTTCCCGGAGCAAATAGCCTTAAATTCTCTCGCTATTTAAAGTCTCTAGTGACGATAACTTTGTTCTACCTCAGCAAAGATCATAATTAATTGTTTCCGAGGAAGTTTATGCTTGATTTTGGTCAGGCATATATTTGGGCAGCCCACCTGAAACGAACAAGGAAGGCGGGGGAAGAAAGCGGAAGCCGCGGGGCCTTCTAAGTCCGAAAGTCTCCGGAGCTTGCGCCAGGCTCTTCGCGGCGTCCACCCCTTAGACGCAAGTTGCTGAAGCCGGCCGGGGAGAAGGCGTTGTTGCCGGAGCTGAGACCGGGCGGTCACAGTCCGCAGGGATGAACCTCGAGTTGCTGGGTGAGAAGGGCTGTGGTTGCGTTATAGAGAAGCGTTGAGTACTGGAAAGGAGGGAACCCAGGCGGGAGGGGAGTCAGGCTGCAACCTTAGGGACACTGGTCTGCTATGGATCATTGGGCACACCTGATGTGGAGCACAGCAGGAGGAGGAAGCGCACCTTCTGCCCGAGTAGATTGCATTGCCCCTCCCGAGGCCACTTTCGTATCAATTATGGAGCGGTGGGGACAGACAGTTTGTGACTTAGGTTTGATTATAAGGATCACAGGTGTTGAAGTAGCCCAGAGCAGCCAGGACCAGAGTTGTTGGAGATGGAATTTGAAGAAGTGAGGCTTGGGATGAAGCTTTGAAGACTTGTCAGGGAATTGGGTTCCTGGACAGGTTAATCTTTTTGTAGAAACGAGATGTCCAAGGAGGGGACTTGGAGATCTTCTGGTAGAAGCCTCTCATTGAACGGATGAATAAAGGCTCAGAGGGTAATGGCTAGGCACTAAGCAAGTAAATGGCATAGTTGGCACTAGAATCCAATTATCCTAACTTTCTGTTTAAGGTCCTTTACTAGGGACGGTGTGTAAAACACTGAAGTGTGAAATATGGAGGAAGTTGTCTTTTGTCATCCTCACTTTGAGTCATTTCCTCCTTACCTCCTAGCCAGATTATTTAAAAACTGTAGGTCCTTTCTCCTGGACTTTCATTAGGTGACGTTTAGCATGGTATCCTAGGGGTAACTGAGGTTTTCAAGGACTTCTGCCCGACTTGCTGTTCCTAATGGTTAGGTTTCTCTTTAAAGAAAATCAGAAGATGTGTTGTCAAAAGGGCTACAAAGATACATAAAAAATGGTCTTTGCCCTTAAAGAGCTTTTCATTAAGCAGGGAGTTTAAGGTGATTATGTAAAATAGCCGTAAGATATTGCAGAATGTAGGCAGGCCTGAAAGAGTCATTACCAGTTGCTAAGAATGTTTGGAACAGAGAGTGAATGTCTTTGGGGCAAGGGAAGAAGTCAACCAGGAAAAACAAACCCCCAAAACCTGTGGAGGAGTTGGAGTTTTAAGTTTTTTGTTGTTGTTGTTTTTAAGACAGTCTCGCGCTGTCGCCCAGGCTGGAGGGCAGTGGCATAGTCTTGGCTCACTGCAACCTCCATCTCCTGGGTTCAAGTGATTCTCATGCTTCAGCCTCCTGAGTAGCTGGTACTACAGGTGCGCACTGCCACGCCTGGCTAATTTTTGTATTTTTAGTAGCAATGGGGTTTCACTGCATTGGCCAGCTGGTCTCAAACTCCTGGCCCCAAGCAATCCATCCACCTCAGCCTCCCAAAGTGTCCCGCCTTAAGTGGATTTTTAAGGTTGGTAAAATATCAACAGGCTGAAGTAGGAAGATATGGGAGGGATGAATTTTCCTGCTTGGCCAGGTTGTGGATAAAGAGAATGCCAAGGGATGGGATTGGTGCCATCTATTTTGTGTTGGTTCTCGAATGCCCAGCTGAAAAGTTTGGGGTTTTTAGGGAAGGTAGGGTAGATCTATTGAAGGGTTTTGACTTAGTAACTCAGTCAGAGCTGTGAGTCTGTAAGGTTTGTCTGACAGCGATGTGGAGTTCAGTTTTGGAAGAGTGTAAAAACCAGTTTGGAGGGGTAGATTACATGAGTGATAAGGAAGGCCTGAGCTAGGAAATAGAAAAGACATTGAGGAGGTAGGGATGACAAATAGATTGCATGTAGTGGTGATGAGTAAGAGAGTTACGTGAAAAATGGTGAGAGCAAATAATGATGCTATTGATAAAGTGTAAGGACATTGGAAAAAGACAGCTTTGGAGATGCTGAATGTGGTCTAGGGGTCAGGAGACAGGTTTGGATTTATGGGAGAGATTTGTAATCTTACAGATGGGCTCATTGAAACCTTGTGATCGAGGCATGATTAAGGGAAAAAGTGGAGGGGGAGAAAAGAAAATTGCCAAGCACACAATCTGTAGTTAGGGGTTAAGAGGAGGAATAAAGGAAGATAATAAGTTAGCTAACAGTTATAAAGTACTTTCTCTGAGCTAGGCAGATTTTCAAGTGCCTTCCATGTATTAATCTATGTAGAGGAAGAAGAGAGTACAGATTGGTGTGGTGTCTTCATGGAAGCCAATCAGAGCAGCTGAGTCTGAGGGCTTAGAATGGGTTGCTCTGATTAGTCCTTTGGCAGCTTGGAACAGAAGCCAGATTACAATGGTTTTAGAATGGTGTGGGAGACAAGGGCAAAAGGTTGACCCTTATTTTTAAAAACTTAAGGATGGAAGAAAGGTGATGACACTAGCACTTTGAAAGAGTAGCAGGGACTTGCAAAAAGGCTTTTCTTGAATGATACAGAAGATTCATTAGGATAAAACTTAGGAAGGAATATTTATTTTTATTTATCTTTTGAGACAGAGTCTTGCTCTGTTGCCCAGGCTGGCGTGCAGTGGCACAATCGACTGACCGCAACTTGCACTTCCCAGGTTCAACCGATTCTCCTGCCTCAGCCCTCCTGAGTAGCTGGGATTACAGGCACCTAATGCCACACTTGGCTATATTTTTTGTAGTTTTAGTAGAGACTGGGTTTCACTATGTTGACCAGGCTGGTCAGGAACTCCTGACCTCAAGTGATTTGCCCACCTTGGCCTTCGAAAGTGGTGGGATTACAGGTGTGAGCCCCCGTGCCCAGCCAGGAAGGAATATTTAGCATTGGAAGGTTAGACGAATTAAAGAAGCCTGGGTCCAGAAGATAACAATCTCTGAAAATGACTGTATTTAAAAGTGAGAAAGTTAATGACTACAGATGAAAGGAACAGAAGTAATGTGATTGTGGAAGCATATTGAAGGACATCTGACCAGATGAAGGAAATGAATGACAATGTATTTTTTTTTTTTTTTTTTTTTTTTTTGAGACGGAGTCTCGCTCTGTCGCCCAGGCTGGAGTGCAGTGGCCAGATCTCAGCTCACTGCAAGCTCCGCCTCCCAGGTTTACGCCATTCTCCTGCCTCAGCCTCCCGAGTAGCTGGGATTACAGGCGCCCGCCACCTCTCCCGGCTAGTTTTTTGTATTTTTTAGTAGAGACGGGGTTTCACCGTGTTAGCCAGGATGATCTCGATCTCCTGACCTCGTGATCCGCCTGTCTCGGCCTCCCAAAGTGCTAGGATTACAGGCTTGAGCCACCGCGCCCGGCCGACAATGTATTTTTAATGTGGTTACTCAAGTGGCTCATAGGTAGACACTAGTTTTACTTCTGCAACCACTTTTTGAGCCCCTGCTGTGTGCACTGGAGATACAGTTAAATAAGATCATTTGTCAAACTTATTTTTACCACAAATCACAGTAAGAAATATATATTCTATCACAGTTCACTTTATGTACATACACACACACGTGTAACTAAATTTCTTAGGATTATACTTAATCCTTGTTATGTTCAGTATCCTCTGATATTTTCTTTTCTTTTTTTTTCCCCCTCTTTAGACGGAGTCTTGCTTCTGTCGCCCAGGCTGGAGTGCAATGGCATGATCTTGGCTCACTGCAACGTCCGCCTCCTGGGTTCAAGCAATTCTCCTGCCTCAGCCTCTCAAGTAGCTGGGATTGCAGGCATGTGCCACCATGCCCGGCTAATTTTTTTTATTTGTGTTTTTAGTAGAGACGGAGTTTCACCATGTTGCCTCAGCTGGTCTCGAACTCCTGACCTCGTGATCTGCCCGCCTTGGCCTCCCAAAGTGCTGGGATTACAGGCGTGAGCCACTGCACCTGGCTGATATTTTCTAATCTATTGAAACACTTGTTCCAACTCACTAAATTAATGTATCCATTTATGGTGGGTTGCCTCCTACTGTTTGAAAAACATTGAAACATTGAAATAAGATACCAGTTTTGCCCTGGTAAATAGAGCTAAGAGGAAAGACAAACAAGTAACTGTGTATCATATAGAACCACAATAAATGAATGAGCTGTGGGAATCCAGCTAAAAGCAATTACAAGCAGTTGAGGCCAGGTGCCGTGACTCACGCCTGTAATTCCAGCACTTTGGGAAGCCAAAGCAGGTGGATCACCTGAGGTCAGGAGTTCAAGACCAGCCTGTCCAAGATAGTGAAACCCTGTCATCCACCCGAGGTCAGGAGTTCAAGACCAGCCTGTCCAAGATAGTGAAACCCTGTCTCTACTAAAAATACAAAAATTAGCCGTGCATGGCAGCCCGTGCCTGTAATCCCAGCTACTCAGGAGGCTGAGGCAGGAGAATCACTTGAACCTGCGAGACAGAGGTTGAGGGGAGCCGACATCATTGCATTACAATGTGGGGGACAAGAGCGAACTCTGTCTCAAATAAATACATATATGGATATATATATGGATATCTATATGGATATATATATATATGGATATATATACACACACATACAGAAAAAAGTCTCCCCATCCCAAATTTTAAGTGGGGTTTATCCTTTTATACCTTTTTCTTTGCTCATATAAACACATTTACACATAAATTTGTTTATTTTATTTTTTTTTTTTGAGACAAGAGTTTCCCTCTTGTCGTCCAGGCTGGAATGCAATGGTACGATCTCAGCTCAATGCAACCTCTGCCTCCCAGGTCCAAGAGGTTCCCCTGCCTCAGCCTCCCGAGTAGCTGGGATTACAGGCATGTGCCACCACGCCTGGCTAGTTTTGTATTTTTAGTAGAGACAGGGTTTCTCCATGTTGGTCTGACTGGTTTTGAACTCATGACCTCAGGTGATCCACCCGCCTCGGCCTCCGAAAGTGCTGGGATTACAAGTGTGAACCACCACATGGGCTTTTTACACATAAATTTGTAAGGACTAGGCCGGGCGTGGTGGCTCACGCCGGTAATCCTAGCACTTTGGGAGGCTGAGGCAGGTGGATACCTTGAGGTCAGAAGTTTGAGACCAGCCTGGCCAACATGGCCAAACCACATCTCTACTAAAAATACAAAATTAGCTAGCTGGGCATGGTGCCATGTGCCTGTAATCCCAGCTGCTGCTCGGGAGGCTGGGGCGGGAGAAGCGCTTGAACCTGGGAAGCAGCTGTTGTGGTGAGCTCCACTCACTGGGAGCTCCACTCCCAGCCTGAGTGACAGAGCGAGACTCTGTCTCAAAAAAACAAAAAAAACCAAGCTAGTCAAGAAAAAAAAAACAAACAAAAATACCCCCCACAAAACTGAAAGAAATAAAGAGAATTTCATGTTTAATCAACTACTATTTGCTGTCGCAACCTAAATGCTGTTATTAGGAAGGGGTGTGATCGCTGCTTTTAGTAAAGGTTTCAAGGTTTCAAAGAGTAATTGTGATAAATTGACTGATATGAATTGACTCTTGCCCTTCCTTGCTCTTTTTATTTATTTATTTTTTTGAAACGGAGTCTTGTTCTGTCACCCAGGTTGGAGTGCAGTGGCATGATCTCAGCTCACTGCCACCTCCACCTCCCAGGTTCAAGTGATTCTCCTGCCTCAGCCTCCTGAGTAGCTGGGATTACAGGTGCACACCACCACACCCGGCTAATTTTTGTATTTTTAGTAGAGACGGGATTTCACCATGTTGGCTAGGCTGGTCTTGAACTCCCTTGTGATCTGCCCGCCTTGGCCTCCCAAAGTGCTGAGATTACACGCACGAACCACCGAGCCCGGCTCCTTGCTCTTACGTTAGTAAATATGGAAATAAATTGTGAAATGCCCAAAGGGTATGATGGAGAAAGACTATTGCTAACTTGGATATGTCAGCAGTTGTCAAACTTTTTAGTATCGGGATCCCATTATACTTTTAAGAAGTAGAGGACCGCCAAAGAGTTTTTGTTTATGTAGGTGATATCTGCCTACCAGTGTTTACCAATTTAGAAGTTAAAACTAAGATAGTATTTTTAAAGCACATTATTTAGAAATAACCATAATAAATCCATTACATGTTTATGTAAGTAGTTACTTTGTTTTCAAAAACAAAGTATTTAGTGAGGAAAATGCCACTGTTGTGACATTTTTACAACTGTCTTGAATGTTTGCCTGAATAGAAGTTGGGGGACTTCTCATATCTGCTCCTGCCTTCACTCTGTTGCAACATCCCAGGTCATATAGTCTCAGGAAAGCTCATCTGTATACTTTTGAGTAAACAAGTCATCTTAGCAGAATCTTGAAAATCCATGTGGCCTCATGGAATGCCTGAAAGGGCATCATATCCCCGTTTCATTTTCGTTTTGTCAGCCACTGCTATACACTGTTCATGAGTTGTATGATTCTTGCTATGTGGTACATGTTCCATCAATTCTTTCTTTGCTTTGTTGCAGAGTCCTTTGGGCAGAACTATCCAGAGGTAAGAGTACAGTATTGCCGTGATTTTAGGAACATAGTAACTTGTGGATGTTTATGTTACAACAGAAAATACTTTTTGATCCTTGTGTTTTGACAAAGAAGCATTAAGTGTGATAATATATCTTTTGCTATGATAAGGAACTAGTGTATAATTTTGATCAGGGAGGAAATAGGCAGTGTGGGCTAGAAATCTTATCATGATGTTGTAATCTTACAGTTCATTTTCCTTTAAATAAAAGAAAAACTTTCATTGAAGGATTTTTCACAAACAACACCATCGTAGGTTTTTTTATGTGCTTTTCTTGTTTTGATCAATGTTTTTACGTAGTAAAGCAACATGTATGCTATACATGTGCTTTGCTTTTTTAAGTGTTAAACTGTTTTGTAACACTTGAATGTTTGAGGATAGACATTGTGGTTATTTTAAATAGCTTGGTATTGATGTGAAATAATTTGACTTCTCTAATGTTATGCTTTGTAGGCTATTCTAGAGTTTTTTTTTTAATTCTTAAAAAAAATTCTTTTAAATTCTTTTTGTTTTAAATTCTTGGAATAAATTCCCAGAATTACGATGACTGCATCAATAGATAAGACTTTTTAAATACTTCTGTTATATTTTGCCCATTTGCCCTCCAGAAAGTTTATACAAAGTTATAGTAGTGATGTAAGGGATTGATCACATCTGTTTCCAGAATCTGTGGTTAGCTTTAATAAACGTTTCTTCATTTTGGCTGTTTTAGTAGATATAAGAAGACACAGAGAGACTATTTTGGTATACAGTGTAATTTGTATTCAATAAAAGTATCACAAGTGATAAAGAACCTTTAGGAAATAATTTGGATACCTGGCTATTGTTGTCTCTATTCTTGTATTTGTTTCAATTTTTAGGAAGCTGATGGAACTTTGGATTGTATCAGCATGGCTTTGACTTGCACCTTTAACAGGTGGGGCACACTGCTTGCTGTTGGCTGTAATGATGGCCGAATTGTCATCTGGGATTTCTTGACAAGAGGCATTGCTAAAATAATTAGTGCACACATCCATCCAGTGTGTTCTTTATGGTAAGACATTTTTTAATTAATATTTAAATATGAGTTAGGAGAATGAATGATGACTACATATTTGCAAATCTCATTGTAGATATTTTAATACATAGATTTTAAAATATTCAGCCATTAGTAATACAGTTTATCATGGTTTATGTAGATCCTGAGTCCATGCTGTCGTTGAAGCACCTTTCTTGGGAGAAATTCATTGTATTTTGGATCTGTGTCAGGTGCTGAGAATATCTCAATACTGAAATGAGATATTTTCAGATTGTAATTGTAGTATAATTGTGTTAGAATAAAAAGTCTCGGTTAGGACAGAAGCTTGAAAGTCATAGAGTCCAATTTTGTCCAGGTTATTGAATTTCAGTAATTTTAGTGATCACAAGTGTGACTATTCCTTCAATGAAATATAGTTATTAAGGTTTTATAGCAAATGTAAAAACAATTGAAATCTGCTGTTACATGAATTCCCATTGATTTCACTCTTACTCTCTGAAACTATTTGCTTCAGAAAATTTTATTTTGGGGCAGCATTTTTTTTAAATGAACTTGGGGCCAAAAAAAAGGACCTAATCCGATCAAAGTTAAGTCTATCTCCTTTTGTCTAAATGATATTATAAAGCATTGGATTGGGAGGAGGCTTGAATCACAGTAAAGTTTGGCCAATAATGTACTGGTGACTTGGGCCAAAACTTTTCTCTTATATCTAATAATCCAGGAAGCACTGGCCCGGATCTCTTAGGTTCCTTCCACCGCCTTTCTGTTTCTTTTTTGTTGTATTCTTGCAATAAAGATACAGGCATGGTGGCTCATGCCTGTAATCTGAGCACTTTGGGAGGCTGAGGCAGGTAGGTGACTTGAGGTCTGGAGTTCGAGACTGGCCTGACCAACATGGTGAAACCCCATCTCTACTAAAAATAAAAAAATTAGCCAGGCATAGTGGCGGGTGCCTGTAATCCCAGCCACTTGGGAGACGGAGGCAGGAGAATTGCTTGAACCCCGGAGGCAGAGGTTGCAGTGAGCTGAGATCCACTGCACTCCAGACTGGGTGACAGAGTAAGACTCCATCTCAAAAAAAAAAAAAAAAGATTTAAATAGATACACATATTTTTAACAGTTTTAAGAGGTAGGGGTGTGTGTGTGTGTGTGTATATGTGTTTCACATAATATAAAATTTAGAGTGTACAATTCACAGGTTTTTATATATTCAGAGTTGTGCAACCATCATCATAATATAATTTTAGAACTGGCTAGATGCATTGGCTCATGCCTGTAATCCCAGAGCTTTGGGAGGCTGAGATGAGAGGATTCCTTGAGCCCAGGAGACCAACACAGTGAGACCTTATCTCTACAAAAAGTAAAAAAATTAGCTGCGTGTGTGGTGCACATCTGTAGTCCTGGCTACTTCGGAGGCTGAAGTGGGAGAATCACTTGAGCCCAAGAGTTCTAGGCTGTAATGAGCCATAATTGTGCCACTGCACTCCAGTGCCTGGGTGACAATAAACCTTGTCTCTTAAAAAAAAAAAAAAAGAACTCTTACCTATTAAAAATATATGTGTTTTTATTATATAGTAATATATACTTATTCTAGAAAATCATGGAAAATAAAACAGAAGTAACTAATATTTTCTGTAGACCTCCTAACCAGATACTACTGCTTTGTATGTATAGATTTTTGTTGTATGTATAGATTGTTGTTGTTGTTGTTTCTGAGACAGGGTCTTGCTCTGTGGCCCAGGCAGGAGTGCAGTGGCTTGTCACAGGCATGATCACAGTTCACTGCAACCTTGAAATCCCAGGCTCAAGTGATCTTCCTGAGTAACTAGGTCTATAGATGTGCGCCCCCATGCCTGGCTAATTAAAAAAATTTTTTTATAGAGACAAGGTCTTGCTATGTTGCTTAGGCTTGTCTTGAACTCCTGGCTTCAGTCGATCCTCCCACCTCAGCCTCCCAAAGTGCTGGGATTAGTTGTGAGCCACCATGTCTGCTCAGTTTCTAGATAATTTTTTTAAGCATAGTTTGTAATTGTGCTATGTTCTATATTTTACTTTTCCCTCCTAATACTGTCTAGACATTTTTCTGCTTGAGTAGCCTTTAACAACTTTTTAAATGACTGTGTATTGTTTGATAAACCATAATTTACTTAACCATTTTCTGTTTTTTTTCCCTCGATTACATAATGTTTAGTGAATGTCTTTGTGCCATAGTTTTTCTTATATATTCATTCATTCATTCAGTAGGTGTTGACCATGAGTTATGTACCAGGTGCTGTGTTAGGCTCTGGGGACACAAAAACAAATGAGAAATTCTTGATGATTAGTGGGAGGTGGATTTGCATACAGGTGCATGTACTAAAGCTTTGTATGTACTATACAATAGCTATATTTAAGATTTAGTGGAGATGAAAGCACAAAGAAGGAAGTTATCAGTTGTACTGGAGGGGACTAACGGTCAGAAAAGCCATCATAGATGAGATAATTTATAACTTTATTTTATTTTATTATTTTGAGATAAAGTCTTGCTCTGTCACCCAGGCTGGAGTGCAATGGTGCGATCTTGGCTCACTGCAACCTCCACCTCCTGGGTTCAGGCAATTCTGCCTCAGCCTCCCGAGTAGCTGGAATTAACAGGTGCACACCACCATGCCTGGCTAATTTTTTTATTTTTGGTAGAGACAGGGTTTCGCCATGCTGGCCAGACTGGTCTTGAACTACTGACCTCAGGTGATCTGCTCTCCTTGGCCTCCCAAAGTGCTGGGATTGCAGGTGTGAGCCGCCACGCCCAGCCAGATAATTTATAACTTTAAATTTCTATGTTAAGTAGATGTTTGCCAGATATATTCCAAGCAGAGGGCACTGCACAGGCAAAGGCATATCAGCTTGAAACAAGTATGGTACGATAGCGAACTACAGGTATCAGAATAGCTGGATTGTGGTGTGGGAAATATGTGACAAGAGCCAAGGTAAACCAAGGTCCTCATGGAGAACCTCGTCTGCCAGACTCATGAATTTGAACCATAGCTTGTATGTACTGTGAAGTCATTAAGAGATTTTGGCAGGAAAGTAACATGATGAGCTTTTATTTTAAAAAGAACTTCAGATCATCAAGTAGAAAAGAGATTGAAGGGGCAACAGTGAGTGGACGTAGGAGAACTGCTGTGATGTAGGCTGGAGACGATGAGTGTTGCAGTAAGAAAGGAGCCAAGTTAGACAGATGTAGAAATGGTAGAAATAAGAGGACTTAGTCATTAATTCGATTGTGGTGAATGAAATGGAAAAGTTAAGATGATTCTTAGGTTTCTGGCTTGGTTGAAGATACTCATTAATGGAAGATTGAGGGGGAAGTGGTGAGTTTGAGATTATTATGGTTGCATGTCTCCCGTTATTTTCATGTTAGTTTTTTGCAAATATTTGTGTTAAGAGTATCTTCCCTTAAGATGGTAAGTGCTGTGAGAATATGAACCTTGTGTACCATTTCACTGCTGTGTTCTCAGCTTCTAGCATTGTACCTGATACACAGTAGCCATTCAGATACTTGTTGGATGAATGGGAGATGTCCCAAAAAGCATATGAGATGCCCAATGGGCATTTGGTCTATGATTTCTCATTACAGTAGACTTCCAGAAGTGTGTTATTAGTCAGACAAAGGATATAAAGTGAGAGATTTTTCAACCGCTCCCTCCAACATTTTTAACATTTTAAAATCACAAAACCTATACTTGATAATTTAAAAGTTTTGTTGTTGTTGTTGTTGTTGTTTTGAGACAGAGTCTTGCTCTGTTGCCCATGCTGGAGTGCAGTGGTGCAATCTTGGCTCACTGCAACCTACGCCTCCCAGTTTCAAGTGATTCTCCTACCTCAGCCTCCTGAGTAGCTGGGATTACAGAAGCATGCCACCACACCCGGCTAAGTTTTGTATTTTTAGTAGAGATGGGATTTCACCATGTTGGCCAGGCTGGTCTCGACCTCCTGATCTCAGGTAATCTGCCCGCCTTGGCCTCCCAAAGTACTGAGATTACAGGCGTGAGCCACTGCACCTGGCCATTAAAAATATTAATATGCAAAGTACAAAATGAAAGCCCTTTGTCTACTTCTTGGGGTAACCACTGTTAAAGAGTGTGGAATATATCCTGTCTATAAGATATCTATATCTTTATATGTGGAAAAAATTAATACGTATATCCACATAATATGTTTTTAAACAAAAATAAATATATTTTGTTCTGTAGCTTGCTTTTCCACTTACCATATAGTGGATATTTCTCTGTGTCTCATTATTTTAAATAGTTGTGTCTATAGAGTATTGCATAGTATACATGCATAATAGATTTAACTGTTCCTTATTTGAGCATATTAGGGAACAAATTTTATCAAGAGAAGTTTTGAGTAGGCCTGACACTGACTTCAACTATTAGTAAAGTTGATATATGAAAGAGAGAAAAAAATGGCCCAGGATATAGAAGCAGAACTGGTAGGTACTGGCTGGGCGCAGTGGCTCATGCCTGTAATCCCAGCACTTTCGGAGGCCGAGGCTCACCAATCACTTGAGGTCAGGAGTTCGAGACCAGCCCCTACAACATGGTGAAACCCCGTCTCTACTAAAAATACAAAAATTAGCCGGGCATGGTGACGTGCGCCTGTAATCCCAGCTACTTGGGGGGCTGAAGCAGGAGAATCGCTTGAACCCGGCATGCGGAGGTTGAAGTGAGCTGAGATCTACCTGGGCTACAGAGTGAGACCCTGTCTAGAAAAAAAAAACCCAAAAAACAAAACAGAATTAGTAGGTAGTGAACAGAAGTTAGGTATAGGGAAACAAAAGTTAACTCCAAGTAGAGAGAAGCTCCCAAGCAGAGGTGGTGTAGATGGGATTAACTGCCCAGGAGAGAGCTATCCGAGAGCTGTTCTTGCCTAAGCTTGCCACCCCTGTTTTTAGGATGCTGCAGAAGAAATTCAAGCACTGGATGGGGGCCATAGGTAGACTTTAGCACATTAGAATCAGTAAAGACCCATCTGTCTTTGGGAAAGAGGCTGTGAGAAAATATGATAATTCCTAATTCTTGAGCTTATAGAATTTGGAATTGAAGAATAAATTTTTTTTTAGTTTTTACTTTTCTTTATAACTTAATTTTTAGTTAGATTTCCCTCCATTATGACAGAAATACAAGCTTGCTGTGAAAGAAAACAAAAATTATAGTGCAGTAGCAGTAGGTTTTTTTTTTTGTAACTCACCCACCCCTAGTACAGAAGAGTTTAGAGGGAAAACGGAATCATAGCTAACATTTTGTTCTATAGTCTATTTGTGCTAACAGGCCTACAAGAATAGCAACGAAACCTGTTCCTTTTTTCTCCTCACTCTCAGTCTTGTGCCATTCCCAGTAGACTTCTATTTTTGGGGGCTATTTCTTCTGCTGTTTAGCTTTGTATTTCTAATATAATGTGTATTGCTTTTTCGTTAATTTCAGAAATTGAGTTTCCTGTTACAGTGTATTTGAATTTTAACTTACCCTTTACCCTCCCATCATCCACCCTTTTACCCTCCCATCATCATCATCATCCATCCAGCTATTGGCTTTTTTTTGTGCACCTTTGCATTTTAACACCTTTAGGCCTCTTCAGAGTTGACGTTCTCTAGAAGGACTCACTAATTGCCTGACTATAGATATTCTAGAGCCAGTAGAAGAGAGACACCAGAGTCCTTTTGTGTGCAGGCTTTAACTTAATCCCTCTATATTTATAACCGTAGCTTACCCCTGCCTTCCTCTGTTCCTGAGTCCTGAGTCCTGAGTCCTGAATCTGGGAATATATTTATTTTGTCTCTGATATAAATATTTTTTTTGAGCACTTATTATGTACCAGGCATTGAGTACTTATTATGTGCCAGGCTAAGAGTTTTTTATGTATTAATTTAAATTATCTCAACAGCCTTCTGCAGGTAGATACCGTTTTTATTCATATGTTATAGATGAGGAAATTGAAGCCCATAAAACTTAAGTAACTTGCCTAAGATCACACAGCTAGGAGGTGGTAATGTCTAGGCTTGAGCAGAAGTCTGACTTTTGAGCCATGTTCTTAACCATGGAGATTATATTGCCTGCTGAGTTTCTCAATAGCATCTTCTCTTGATTTCAAAACCTGGATAAAGTGTAGGTTTTGGGTGACTTTTTTACTTGTTCCATTTTCTTTTTGTTTTTGTTTCCTGCCTTCCTATGGGCTACTTGGACAAGTTTTTAGAATTCCATTTTGCTTTATCTGTAGTGTTTTTGAGTGTATACCCTTGTGTAGCGTTAGTGGTTACTAGGTTTTACATCATACATTTATAACTTACCACAGTCTACTGGTGATAAGTTGTATTGGTGAACATTTTACCAGTTCAAGTGAAGCGTAGAAACCTTACCTTCCTGTTGTCCCCTTGTCCTTTCTTGTATATAATATAATTGTCTTAAATATTTGCTTTACGTACATTGAGACCCACATAAGACAGTGTTAAAATATGTGTTTCAAACATCAAAACTCAAGAAGAGAAAAAGTAATCTTTTTTTTTTTTTGAGATGGATTCTTGCTCTGTCACCCAGGCTGGAGTACAGTGCCGTGATCTCGGCTCACTGCAACCTCTGCCTCCCAGGTTCAAGTGATTCTCTGACCTCAGCCTCCCGAGTTGCTGGGACTATAGGCATATACTACTATGCCCAGCTAATTTTTGTATTTTTAGTAGAGATGGGGTTTCACCATGTTGGCCAGGATGGTCTGGATCTCTTGACCTCATGATCCTCCTGCCTTGGCCTCCCAAAGGCTGGGATTACAGGCGTGAGCCACTGCACCCGCCCTTTTTGTTTGTTTGTTTGTTTTTCCGGAGACAGAGTTTCATTCTTGTTACCCAGGCTGGAGTGTAATGGCGCGATCTCGGCTCGCTGCAACCTCTGCCTCCTGGTTTCAAGCAATTCTACTGCCTCAGGCTCCCAAGTAGCTGGGATTACAGGCGTGTGCTACCATGCCTGGCTAATTTTTGTATTTTTAGTAGAGATGAGTTTTCACCATGTTGGCCAGGTTGGTCTCGAACTCCTGACCTCAGGTGATCTGCCTGCCTTGGCCTCCCAAAGTGCTGGGATTATAGGTGTGAGCCACCATACCTGGCTGAGAAAAAGTAATTTTATCTACCCATATATTTATAGTCTTCATTGTTCATTCTTCCTTCCTGATGTTCTAAACCCTTCATTTAATCTTTTCTGAACATTATGTAGCCAACTTTAGAGTATGTCTGCTAGCAACAAATGTCTCAGTTTACCTGTTTATTCCTGGGATGACAGTTCTTTTCTTTAGTGCTTGAAAAATGTGCCACTTCCTTCTGGCCTCCGTGGTTTCTGATGAGAAATCCCTTTTCATTCACGTTGTTGTTCCTCTATAGATAAGGCATCATTTTTCTCTTGCAGCTTTTAAGAGTTTTTCGTTGTCTTTAGTTTACAGAAGTTTGTCTGTATTTCTTGGAGTGGATTTCTTTAGGCTCATCCTAGTTGATGTTCTTGAATCTGTAGGTTTTATATCTCTTGCCAGATTTAGGAAAATTTCAGCCATTATATCTTCAAATACCTTAACATCCACGTCTGTATTCTCTCCTTCCAGGATTCTGATGACATGAATATTAGATCTTTTGTTATAGTTCTGAGGCTCTGTGTATGTGTATCTATATACATACACACACTCATATATATGTATACACATATATACACACACAGACACATCATATATATATATGTCTGTTTTCTCTCTATTGAGATTGGGTAGTTTTTATTCCATCTTCCAGTTTGCTGATTCTTTCCCTTTTTTTCCTCCATTGGCTGCTGAATTCATCTGTTGAGTTTATTTCTGTTACTATATTTTTCAGTTCTGAAATTCCCATTTGGTTCTTCTCTGTATCTTCTATTTCTTTGCTAAGATTTTCTGGGTTTTTTTCCCCATCTGTTTCAGGCATGTTCATAATAGTTTGTTGAAGCATTTTTATGATGGCTACATTATAATCCTTGTCAGATAATTCTAACATTTATGTCATCTCTGTATTAGTGTCTATTGATTGTCTTTTTTTACTCAAGTTGAGATTTTCTTTGTTCTTGAGTTGACAGGTGATTTTCATTTGAAACCTGGGCATTTTGGGTATTATGAGACTGTAGATCTTATTTATTTTTTATTTTTTCTTGAGACAGTCTCACTCTGTTGCCCACGCTGGAGCTCAGTGGTGCCATCTTGGCTCACTGTAACCTCCGCCTCCCAGGTTAAAGCAATTCTCTTGCCTCAGCTTCCCGCGTATCTGGGACTACAGGCGCATACCACCATGCCTGGCTAATTTTTTGTATTTTTAGTAGACAACGGGGTTTCACCATATGGCCAGGCTGGTCTCAAACTTTTGGCCTCAAGTGATTTGCCTGCCTCGGTCTCCCAAAGTGCTGGGATTACAGGTGTGAGCCATTGCGCCCGGCCTATAGATCTTATTTAAATCTTCTAGTTTAGCAGGCCGCCTCTGATACTGCACAGGGTAATGGAGTGTGCCATCTTGTTATTGCCAGAGGTGGGTGAAAGTCCGGGTTTCTTCTTACTTGGCCTCGTTACTGCTGGGGAGGGATTGAAAGTTTAGGCTCTCTACTAGATCTCTGCTGATAACATCCTGTCTGGGAAGGATAGGAGTTCCTTGTTCCATCTCTCTGTGTGTCCTCTGACACCATGGTGGTGCAACCTCATTACTGCTGGTGGTAATGCAAATCTGATTCCCTACTGAGCCTTCTTGGACACCACCCCAGTGAGGTGGGGAGGGTGCCTTGTTATAGCTGGATAAAGGTGAAGTCTAGGCTATCCGCTTGAACCTTGCTAAGAGGGGCATTTGCAGTTCTTTTCTGTGATGTTTGGCTGGAGTAGATTGGTTATTGTCTTGAAGTTTTCTGTCTTGCCAGGCTGTCCTTTTCTGGTCCCTTAGCTGGGGAAAGCAGACTCTTCTTGGGGATTTTTGTGTGTGTCCACTAGCATTACCAGGTTGTTGGCTTTTCCTTCACCCAGAACGGAGAACATGAGGCAGAAAGAAAATTCTGGGATTTCACTGTTGTGTCATCCTTAAGATTCTGCAGTCTCTGGCTTGTCTGTCCTTTGTCTACCTTTCAGAACCCTTTTTGTCTCTTTATATGTGATGTCCAGTGTGTTTATCTGTACTTAGCAGGAGGAATTAATTCTTTCTCAGTTTCTTTTAAAATTATTTTAAATAACAGATACTTACCATTTTTTTTGTTTTGTTTATACCATGATGGTGCAACTTCTGAGATAACTTCAGAAAGTTCAACTATATCAACCTTAAAGGCCAGCTGATTTTTAGACTCTTCTAAGATGTTTTTAATCTCTTATTTCACTGAGTCACTTTATAGTTTTATCTTGAAATATTATGAGCTTCCATTACTAGATAATAAAATGTCATGAAAACATTCTTATTTATTGCCTAGTTGGAAGAGCTTGTGGATTTGAGTATAAGTAGAACAAAACCAGAAACATTGTTGACCTGTGCAATTGCAGTAGTGTGTGTGACTTACACAGTTTATTCCTGAGAGTGGTATAGTATACCTAGAATATGTGCTAAATTACCCCTGTTTTTCCTCAGCTGGAGCCGAGACGGCCATAAGCTCGTGAGTGCCTCCACTGATAACATAGTGTCACAGTGGGATGTTCTTTCAGGCGACTGTGACCAGAGGTTTCGATTCCCTTCACCCATCTTAAAAGTCCAGTATCATCCGCGAGATCAGTATGTCTAAGCTATTTCTCTCCTGGGGTGGGGTCTAATTCTATATGGATTATATGGAATGGGCTCATGATAATTTTAGTTTATGGTTTTAGAAGGCAAATATGCATCTCTTCAAAACTTCTACATAAAATAATCTTTCTATCTAGGTTGGCTCTACTGAATACATTTCTTTCTTTCTTTTTCTTTTTCTTTTTTTTTTTTTTTGAGACAGGGTCCTGCTCTGTCACCCAGGCTAGAGTGCAGTGGCGCAATCTTGGCTCACTGCAACCTCTGCCTCCCGGGTTCAAGATTCTCCTGCCTCAGCCTCTCTAGTAGCTGGGGCTGCAGGCGCATGCCACCATGCCCAGCTAGTTTTTGTATTTTTAGTAGAGACGGAGTTTCCCCATGTTGGCCAGGTTGGGCTCGAACTCCTGACCTCGTGATCTGCACACGCCGGCCTCCCAAAGTGCTGGGATTACAGGCGTGAGCCAGTGCACCTGGCCCTGAATACTTTTTTTTTTTAATTTAAATTTTATTTATTTTTTTATTTTAATTTTTATTTTTTTGTGACGGAGTCTTGCTGCGATGCCCTGGCTGGAGTGCAATGGCGCAGTCCCAGCTTATTGCACCCTCCTCCTATTTTCAAGCGATTCTCCTGCCTCAGCCTCCCAAGTAGCTGGGATTACAGGCATAGGCACCACATCTGGGTAAGTTTTTGTATTTTTAGTAGAGATGCGGTTTCACCGTGTTGGCCAGGCTAGTCTCAAACTCCTGACCTCAAGTGATCTGCCCACCTCAGCCTCCCAAAGTGCTGGGATTACAGGTGCGAGCCACTGCGCCTGGTTTCTTTTTTTTTTTTTTTTTTTTTTGAGACGGAGTCTTGGTCTGTCGCCCGCGCTGGAGTGCAGTGGCCGGATCTCAGCTCACTGGAAACTCCGCCTCCCGGGTTTACGCCATTCTCCTGCCTCAGCCTCCCGAGTAGCTGGGACTACAGGCGCCCGCCACCTCGCCCGGCTATTTTTTTGTATTTTTTAGTAGAGACGGGGTTTCACTGTGTTAGCCAGGATGGTCTCGATCTCCTGACCTTGTGATCTGCCCGTCTCAGCCTCCCAAAGTGCTGGGATTACAGGCTTGAGCCACCACGCCTGACCTGGTTTCTTATTTTTTTTTAAATGATTATGTGTTATTTCATCAAGACTAATTTTACTCAGAATTTTCCCTGTTATTAGACTTGTGGATTTTATGCTTTTTCACTGTTTCAAATTTGCTTGGGCTGGGCAAGTTGATGAGGGTATGGACAGGGATCAGGGAAAAGAACAGGGAATCAGCTTGCTGATACCAAAGCAACAGCCAACGTACTGTTCGTATTTTTAAACAGGAACAAGGTTCTCGTGTGTCCCATGAAATCTGCTCCTGTCATGTTGACCCTTTCAGATTCCAAACATGTTGTTCTGCCGGTGGATGATGACTCCGATTTGAACGTTGTGGCATCTTTTGATAGGCGAGGGGAATATATTTATACAGGAAACGCAAAAGGCAAGGTAAGCCTAAAAGCTGGCAAATCAGGCATCTTGTACACTGGCTCATTTAATGTTTACTTGTTTTGTTTCCTTTGAAAATTTTTTTATTCTTGGACTAAGCACAGTTCCTTCCTGCAGCAAATGTAGTCTAATTTTCCTCCATTGCTTAACAATAATTTTTGATCTTTGGATTTAGAGTGATAGAGATTATTTGACCTAGAAAAGCATGGAAGGACCTTTACTGGATGCTAGTAATGAAGGGCCATTATGAAATTTTAAAACTTCAATGTCATGTTATCAACTGGAACACTGCTGATCAAAATGTCTTAATATCTGGTTTTATAAAAGATTGTATAATTCAGGCAAACTTAACTTACAGTACTGAGACTTATTCTTCTTTTTCCTTCTTGTTATCTTCTGACCTTGCCTTTTGAAATGTGTAGGCCCTTTTCTCTGGAATACATTGTAGAAGGTGTTTCTTCTGTGGAATAAGAAGTCAGGTCAGGTGACCTTTAAAGGTTCTTTTCATGCTTAGAGTAGTTCCACTGGGCATCTTGATTTATTTTTATTTTTATTTTTTGACTGGGGCACATGGGCTAGTATAATTTCATGGCTATTTTAGACAGGCACTTTTTGCTCTTTTTTTTTTTTTTTTTTTTTCCCTGAGATGGAGGCTCACTCAGTTGCCCAGGCTGGAGTGCAGTGCGTGATCTCAGTTCACTGCAACCTCCACCTCCTGGGTTCAAGCGATTCTGCTGCCTCAGCCTCTTGAGTAGCTGGGATTACTCCTGACTTTAAGTGATCTGTCCACCTCAGCCTCCCAAAGTGCTGTGATTACAGGTGTGAGCCACTGCACCCGGCCTTAGAAAGGCATTTTTTTTTTTTTTTTTTTTTGAGATAGAGCTTCGCTCTTGTTGCCCAGGCTGGAGTGCAATGGCATGATCTCGGCTCACCGCAACCTCTGCCTCCCGGCTTGAAGCGATTCTCTGCCTCAGACTCCCAAGTAGCTGGGATTACAGGCATTCACCACCATGCCTGGCTAATTTTGTATTTTTAGTAGAGTCGGGGTTTCTCCATGTTGATCAGGCTGGTCTTAAACTCCCAACCTCAGGTGATCCGCTTGCCTCGGCCTCCTAAAGTGCTGGGATTATAGGTGTAAGCCACCGCTCCCGACCTAGAAAGGCGATTTTTAAGAAATTGTGATAAAATACACACAGCGTAAATTTTACCATTTCAGCCATATTTAACTGTACAGTTCAGTGGTATTAGTGTACATCCGCTCTGTTGTGCAGTGATCACCATCCATCTTTAGAAATCTTTTCATCTTGTAAAACTGGAATTCTGTACCTATTGAATCATCATTTCCCATTCCCTGCTCTCTGCCAGCCCCTAAAAACACCCTTTGACCTTCTCTCTTTAAGAATTTGACTAGTCCAGGTACCTCATATAAGGGGAATCATATAGTATTTGCCCTTTTGTGACTGGCTTATTTCACTTAGTTTAATGTCCTCAGTTTCATCCATGTTGTAGCATGTGTCATAATTTTCCTCCTTTTCAAGTCTCAATAATACTCCATTTTATGTATACACCACTTTTGTGTATATGGCTTATCTGTCAGTGGATACTTGGGTGGCTTCTGTATTTTGGCTATTGTGAATAATGCTAAACGTAATATTTTAAGCATAAATTGGCCAGGCATGGTGGCTCATGCCTGTAATCCCAGCACTTAGGGAGGCCAAGGTAGGCAGATCACCTGAGGTTGGGAGTTTGAGACCAGCCTGACGAACATGGATAAACCCCGTCTCTACTAAAAATACAAAATTAGCCGGTCGTCGTGGCGCATGCCTGTAATCCCAGATAGGAGGCTGAGGCGGGAGAATCGCTTGAACCCAGGAGGCAGAGGTGGTGGTGTGCTCAGATCGCACCATTGCACTCTAGCCTGGGCAACAAGAGTGAAACTCCGTCTCAAAAAAAAAAAAAGAAAAAAAAAGAATAGATTAAGACCTTGTCTTATTTAAGGAGGCAGAACAGCAATGTCAGTTAATCAGGTTAAATATATGGAATAGAGACATTTACATTTTTACCCAGTCTTTATGCAGTATTAGAAACAAGCCAAATCTAATTACTGTTAGTTATCGGAACACTTACTTTTCTCCCCCCTCCTTTAAACTTTAGATTTTGGTCCTAAAAACAGATTCTCAGGATCTTGTTGCTTCCTTCAGAGTAACAACTGGAACAAGCAATACCACGGCCATTAAGTCAATTGAGTTTGCCCGGAAGGGGAGGTGAGTGAGATCTTACCTTTTTAGGGACAGTTTTAAGAGTGAGTAGAATGCAAAAATACATGGAAATTTGCAGTTTTCATGTATATTAAACTTCTTAAAAAAATGTACTTAAGGTTTTTAGAAACTTCTCTGGTTTTTGAGTTCATAAAATTTCCTGCAGTAGTTACATCTTTCTTATCTGGAGGTTATCAGGCAGTTACTTTACAGAAAAATAAGTAAATGGTCAGTGCTTAGAACCAAAATGCCTGGCGTATAGTAAGCACTGGGTATATGATAACTATTATTATCATCAGAACTGATGTCATCAAATTCACATTGTAACTGAATATAGCCTATTTACCCTTTTAATTTTGGATGTTATTCTGATAAGGTTGGTTACCTAGTTAGAAGTCGTAGAATATATCAACAGAAATAGGAAATAGGTTGTCAGTAAGAGGTAATAGTCCTCCTATTTTGTTTAGGAACACCCATACATGACTTAGAGCAGGGGTCCCCAACCCCCGGACCACGGACCAGTATTGGCCTGTTAGGAACCGTGCCGCACAGCTGGAGGTGAACATTACCACCTGAGCTCTGCCTCCTGTCAGATCAGTAGCAGCATTAGATTCTCACAGGAGCACGGACCCTATTTTGAACTGCACATGTGAGGGATCTAGGTTGTGTGCTCCTTATGAGAATCTAATGCCTGATGATCTGAGGTGGAACAGTTTCATCCTGAAACCATAACCCTCCTGCCAGCCTGGTCCATGGAAAAATTGTCTTCCACAAAACCAGTCACTGGTGCCAAAAACGTTGGAGACAGCTGACTTAGAGGATATTAATGTTCAAAATTCTGTTGAATTAAGAAAAGGTTACAGTCAGTGAAGTCTGTAAGAAAGTGATGAAATAACTAATATTTTATACAGATTTCTAAGATTTTCAATGTCATTACAGTAAAAATGACATTTTAAAATGACATATTTAGTTTATTACCTCATTTAGAAGATTATATGTGAAGCAGGCCAGAGGAATGAAGTATTTATATCCATTTCACTGTAAACTTGTGAATTTAGCAAGCTGGTTTCAGTAGAGAGGTCTTGGAACTTAGTTAATATTGACAGTTTGTATATTTTGGGTTTAGGGATACACAGGAAGTATAAAACATACTCCCACTTCAAATTATATTTTGGTTTGGGAGATGACAAGTAGATACATAAATATTCTAGTCTGTTACTTAGATTTTCCCTCAATTCTTCACCAGTTTATTAGTTGTCTTATAGTACTAAGGAAAAGATTTCTGACCTCTGGTGTTGATATTTTTATCCTTCCTGTAGTTGCTTTTTAATTAACACAGCAGATCGAATAATCAGAGTTTATGATGGCAGAGAAATCTTAACGTGTGGAAGAGATGGAGAGCCTGAACCTATGCAGAAATTGCAGGATTTGGTGAATAGGTATGTATCACGGCCTAGAAGAATATGTGATCATTCATGACCTGGGCTTGAGTTCCAGCTCTCCTTGGTACTTTCCTTGTCCTTTAGGACCCCATGGAAGAAATGTTGTTTCTCTGGGGATGGGGAATACATCGTGGCAGGTTCTGCGCGGCAGCACGCCCTGTACATCTGGGAGAAGAGCATTGGCAACCTGGTGAAGATTCTCCATGGGACGAGAGGAGAACTCCTCTTGGATGTAGCTGTGAGTACATTAGGACATTGCTCTTGTTAGTCACATAATCCAAAAAATCTGGAATCTGTTCTTAACAACCTATTTTTCTTTCCTTCACTAAAACTTAGTGGCATCCTGTTCGACCCATCATAGCATCCATCTCCAGTGGAGTGGTATCTATCTGGGCACAGAATCAAGTAGTAAGTATTCTATTTTACTTGCTTTGAAACTAGATACCCTTCTTTTTATCAAAGAACCTTATACATAGGAAGCTAAAAATTACCTTATTTATTTTCTTTTGCGTATGATTCTCGCAACCTAAATTACATAGGTTCAGTGCATCTAGTTGCACTTTATTTTGGTGGGAAGGTCTTGGTCCCAAGTTGGTTTTCTGGCTGTTTTCAGGGAGAAGCTCTAGTGAACTTTCTGTTGCATTTTTCTATTATTTATTTGAGATACATTTTTCTTTTGCTTTTCTTACTTTCAGGTCAGTTTCTGTTTTATATCTTAATTTTACTTTGAACACCTTTAAATTACATTTGTAATCAGTGTACTTACAAGAAAATTTAACATTTTATCTCAAAATTCCTAAAATGAGCAAAGAAGGCAGTGACTCAAAAGAGCTACAGTTAATAACTTAGAACGTTTAAGATAGAAAATACCTAAGCTAGTAAAACTTACAGATACCTGTTTTTTTTCTTATCTGCGAAATTTAATCTAAGAATTGTGAATTCCTTTCATGCTCAGATCTTTCATTTTATCATTAATGTGTAGATTACAGATGATTGCTTTCACGTATAGTTAAGTAGTATATTTTGTCGTATAGGAAAACTGGAGTGCATTTGCACCAGACTTCAAAGAATTGGATGAAAATGTAGAATATGAAGAAAGGGAATCAGAGTTTGATATTGAAGATGAAGATAAGAGTGAGCCTGAGCAGACAGGTAATATTTCTCAATTGCAGACAGGATTTCCTAAAGGGAAAATGATTGCTTTACTTAATATTCTTCATTTGTGTTGTAAATTTATTTCAGCACTTCATCTAAAATGTCCCCTTTCCACCCCACATTTTTTTTTTTTTGAGACAGAGTTTCGCTCTTGTCACCCAGGCTGGATGCAATGGTGTGATCTTGGCTGACTGCAACCTCCGCCTCCTGGGTTCAAGCGATTCTCCTGCCTCATCCTCCCGAGTAGCTGGGATTACAGGTGCTTGCCACCATGCCCGGCGAATTTTTTGTATTTTTAGTAGAGACGGAGTTTCACCATGTTGACCAGGCTGGTCTGGAACTCCTGACCTCAGGTGATCCACCCGCCTTGGCCTCCCAAAGTGCTGGCATTACAGACATGAGCCACTGTGCCTGGCCTATGAACCTGGCCTTCTTTTTCCTTTAAGCTTACACAATCTCCACGGTATTTGGAGAGCCCTAATTTATAAGGTGTTAACTAAGGGCTTATATGGGTATTCCCAGGGCTCAAGCAGCTCTCTTAACATATCATTGTGTATTTCCTGATTAATTGCAGATGACTGAGGACATACATGCAGCACCTAGCAAAGAACTCACCATGCTAAGAGTGCTCAGCTTTTCCCGTGTATTCTGTCACTCTATCGGGAGAACCCGCTCCCGGTGTTTAACGTGGGTTCTTTTCTATTTCCTAAGTGTCTCGGCTGGGTTGAGAAATAAACGGAAAGAGCACAAAAGAGAGAAATTTAAAGCTGGGTGTCCAGGGGAGACATCACGTGTCGGCAGGATCCGTGATGTCCCCCGAGCCATAAAACCAGCAAGTTTTTATTAGCAGTTTTCAAAAGGGGAGGGAGTGCACGAATGGAGTATGGGTCACAGAGATCACATACTTCACAAGGTAATCAAATATCACAAAGCAAACGGAGGCAGGGCGAGATCACAGGACCACCGGATGAGGTGAAATTGAGGTGAAATTAAAATTGCTAATGAAGTTTCCGGCAGGCATTGTCATTGATAACGTCTTATCAGGAAACAGGGTTTGAGAGCAGATAACCTGTCTGACCACAATTTGTTAGGTGGGAATTTTCCTCGTCCTCATAAACCTGGGAGCGCTATAGGAGACCGGGGCTTATTTCATCCCTTTGGCTTCGACCATAAAAGATGTGGACTGGACGCCTTAAAAGGGGCCGTCTATAGGCCTACCTTCAGGGTGCATTCTCTTTCTCAGGGATGTTCCTTGCTGAGAAAAAGAATTTAGCGATATTTCTCCTATTTGCTCATGAAACAGGAGAAATATAGCTCTGTTCCGTCCGGCTCACCGGTGGCCAGTTCAAAGTTACCTCTCTTGTTACCTGAACATTGCTGTTATCCTGTTCTTTTTTTAAGATGCCCAGATTTCATATTGATCAAACACACACGCTCTACAAACAATTTGTGCAGTTGATACAATCACAGGGTCCTGAGGCGACATTCATCCTCCTCAGCTTACAAAGAAGATGACGGGATTTAGAGATTAAAGTAAAGACAGGTATAGGAAATCACAAGGATATTCATTGGAGAAGTGATAAGTGTCCATGAAATCTTCACAATTTATGTTCAGAGATTACAGTAAAGACAGGTGTAAGAAATTATAAAAGTATTAATTTGGGGAACTAATAAATGTCCATGAAATCTTCACAATTTATGTTCTTCTGCCTCGGCTTCAGCCAGTCCCTCCGTTCAGGATCCCTGACTTCCAACAACATCACTCCTTTGTCAGTAAGAAACGGGTCAAGAGCCTGGGCTCTGAAGTCAGACTGCCTTGGGCAAAATACTACTTAAGCTGAATTTCCTCATCTGTAAAATAGGGATAATAATAGTACCTGCTTTTTAGGGTTGTGGGGAGTAAGTGAAATAATTTATGTAAAGCACTTAGTGTATGCCTAGGCCATAATAAGCACTAAGATGTTAATTTCCATTACGATTATGACTGATTTTATCTCTTCTGAATTTCTAGATAGGAGCTCCTTAAGAATAAAGATTTGACATTTTATCCCCATGGCGTCTAACACAGGGCTTTATAACATAGTAAGGTTTGTGCGGGTGAATGCTTAGGATGCTCAATTGGCACTGCCAGTGAGTAATTAATGCCACAGATTATTGACTCCTGAGACACTTGATGGTGCCAGGAATCAGGGGATTGAGAATGAGGTTGGTTCTCTAGTTTGAAAGTGCTGGTCCTCACTTTTGTGATATTAGATAACTTGCATGCCTAATGTGTTTTAGGAGGACCTCCAGGGAAGCAGAATGTTCTAGATTCTAGGGTTACCTTCTGTCAAACCTTCCCAGATTTCCACATAAATTGTTCCTCCTGCCCATATCCTGAGCACATTACACATACCATTACTGTATTAAATGGAAACTGTCTATCTGTCTCCCCAGTTAAGACTCTGAACCTTTTACTGAAGAGCTGTTCCCAACTGTTTCTGGGGCATTGCACTATTTTCAGTGCCTAGCATAGGGTGGAAATTCAGCACATATTTGTTAAATGATTAAGTGAAGTGAACTGTTTGGTTTTCCTCCTTTCTCTGGAATTTCAGCTTATGAAAACCTTGAAGCTGCAAATAAAAAGCAGTTTTTCACTTCTCAAACATCTCCCGTGTTTCTGTCCTGTCAGGGGCTGATGCTGCGGAAGATGAGGAAGTGGATGTCACCAGTGTGGACCCTATCGCTGCCTTCTGTAGCAGGTGAGCCGGCCCGGAAGGCTGGGCACCTTGGCTACTGCTGCTCCTGGTCTCTGGGGGAGCACTCCACAGTTCCCCGGGCTGTCCCTTCAGTCCCATCTGCTTATTAGCTAAAAGAGATCACTCATTTGGTGTACAAGAAATCCAATGTAGCCTTTCTTCTCTAGTCCTACTTTCCCTTCACTTCTCCCTGATAGAGAATTTTATTGGCTGGGCGCGGTTGCTCAAGCCTGTAATCCCTGCACTTTGGGAGGCCGAGACGGGCGGATCACGAGGTCAGGAGATCGAGACCATCCTGGCTAACACGGTGAAACCCCGTCTCTACTAAAAAATACAAAAAACTAGCCGGGCGCGGTGGTGGGCGCCTGTAGTCCCAGCTACTCGGGAGGCTGAGGCAGGAGAATGGCGTGAACCCGGGAGGCGGAGCTTGCAGTGAGCTGAGATCCGGCCACTGCACTCCAGCCTGGGCAGCAGAGCAAGACTCCGTCTCAAAAAAAAAAAAAAAAAGAATTTTAAGGAACCACAATTATTTATTTATCCTGTTTATCTTTTCACCAATTTTATCAATTACATTGTCTGATTCTCTTTTATTCATCTTGGCTTTCTTAAAGTTCTAGATCCATACCTGTTGCTTATGCTTAATATAGGTGATAGAGGAAGGGCTCATGGTTTAAGCAACTATCTCTTTTTTCCAATCCCTTGTCTGATCCTGCTCCAAATAGTGATGAAGAGCTGGAAGATTCAAAGGCTCTATTGTATTTACCCATTGCCCCTGAGGTAGAAGACCCAGAAGAAAATCCTTACGGCCCCCCACCGGATGCAGTCCAAACCTCCTTGATGGATGAAGGGGCTAGTTCAGAGAAGAAGAGGCAGTCCTCAGCAGATGGGTCCCAGCCACCTAAGAAGAAGCCCAAAACAACCAATATAGAACTTCAAGGAGTACCAAATGATGGTAAGAGCTGCATCTTCTCCCTCTGGCCTGACAGATGCCGCTCTCTGCTCCCCAGCTCAATCTGGTAATTTCCTGTTTCAGCGATTTTACCTTAGAGGAATTTTCCCATGAGTCTATTTTATAGTGCTTTACAACTTTATAATGATTGCATCTGTGTTCACTTCTCTCTTAAAATGGAGAAATTCTGCCCTTCAGTACTTTGCCTAAAATGCTGCACTTTAATTCTTCTGACAGCCGGCTCGGAGTTTATTATACCATTCTTCTTTCAAATTTTTCCCCATAGAGTGGTTTTATTAGATATAAAGTACTAGTTAGACTTGGACAATCATTTCATCCTTCCTGCCACCTTTTACAGTCTGACTTGGGAATCCTTTATTACCATGTCTTGGAATAGGTAGGGGTGGATGGGGGTGTGCGTTTACTATTGAGCATCCTCCTTCCTCTTTTTTTTTTTTTTTTTTTTTTTTTTAGAGACAGGGTCTTGCTCTGTTGCCCAGGCTGCAGTGCAGTGGCGTGATCTTGGTTCACTGAAACCTCCGCCTCCCAGGTTCAATCAATTCTTCTGCCTCAGCCTTCCGAGTAGCTGGGACTACAGGCATGCACCACCATGCCTGGCTAATTTTTGTATTTTTAGTAGAGATGGGGTTTTGCCGTTTTGGCCAGGCTGGTCTCGAACTCCGGACCTCAAGTGATCCGCCCGCCTCGGCCTCCCAAAGTGCTGGGATTACAGGTGTGAACCACCGCACCCGGCCCTTCCTCTTTTTTAGCTAACTGCAGATCACATTTTGCAACTACATATTTTCCTGATGTTATTGATTTCTGTGTCTACTCTGTTTCAGACACTCTTTGGTATATATACCATTGCTGACTTTTACATCAACCCTGTAAGTTGTTTTACCTGCTTTTTAAAGGAGAAAATTTAGGCTGAGGTTACGTGTAAGAGGTTCTGTAACTTGCCTAAGTCTCACAGGAAGTGGTGGAGTCAGGATTCTCATTCTAGTCTCTCTAATTCCAAAGCCCATTCTCTTTCTGCTCTCACACGCCTCTCTGTGTATGTGTGTGTGCATGTATGTGTGTTCCTTCTTCTGGCTTGGTTTGATAGTATCAGTGCATCTTTCAGCTATTTGTTCAATTTAGAGTTACCGTGACTTGGCATGAACATGTAAGCCAGGGGTGTCCAATCTTTTGACTTCCCTCGGCCACATTGGAAAAATAATTATCTTGGGCCACATATAAAATATACTAACAGTAATGATAGCTGATGAGATTTTAAAAATTGCAAAAAAACTCATAATGTTTTAAGAAAATTTATGAATTTGTGTTGGGCTACGTTCAAAGCTGTCCTGGGCCGCAGGTAGCCTGTGGGCCACAGGTTGCACAAGCTTGATATAAGCCATGTGTGCCTTTTGACCAAGCAACTATCTCTCATTTAATGGCCACTGTTTTGTAGTTATACAAATAAGACAGACTTTTCTCTTTTTAATTATTAATTGATCCGGGACGCAAAGCAACATTCTTTGCTCAACAAAGTTGTGGTTGGGGTGATGGGACTGGTGTCATGTGGATTCCTTTCCATGCCTGTCTGTCCTACAGAAGTCCATCCACTACTGGGTGTGAAGGGGGATGGCAAATCCAAGAAGAAGCAAGCAGGCCGGCCTAAAGGATCAAAAGGTAAAGAGAAAGATTCTCCATTTAAACCGAAACTCTACAAAGGGGACAGAGGTTTACCTCTGGAAGGATCAGCGAAGGGTAAAGTGCAGGCGGAACTCAGCCAGCCCTTGACAGGTAAGGACACATTGGGAGCACTGTCTGGCTTGCTTCGTGGCCTTGCTTTGTATAGCCCTTGACTATATTTAACTGCAACATTTTTTCCCCCTCCCTTCCTACCTTTTTCCCAGCAGCAGATAATCTCTGAATTTTAAGCTGCTGCTAAGGGCAGGCTAAACCGGATTTAATTCAGTGGCTCTTAACCTTGGGTCTGTAAATAGTTTTCAAGAAGTGTACATTCCCCTGATGTTATATGTAAAATATTATGTGAATATTTTTCTGGGGAAGATGTCCATAGCTTTCATCAGATTCCTGTAGGAATTCATGACCCAAAAAAGGGTAAGAACCCCTGGCTTAATTCATTTCTTCATCCCTATTTGCTCTTAGGTTTTTTGTTTGTTTTGTCTCAAATGAAAGAGCCAGACAAGTAGCCAGAAATACAAGCTTGTTTTATATAGTCTTTGACTGGTTCACTGTAGCATCTTTTCTCTCCCTCTTCAGATTGTTCAAATCCCACAGGTAGTGCTTTCTCTCTCTTAGTAGTCCAGAAGCAATAATGAAATTGTTAGTAGTACCATCATGTTAAGGAAGAAGATGGGGTTTGTTTTGGTTTTTAATTTTTTTCCAGTATCTGAAAACAGGAGGAAATGACCAAAAAGACAGAAACTACAGTATCTGTGTAGCATCTTAACACCTAAGCCTTTTGATACATAATATTTGAGTTTTCTCACTTTTATATTACTGAGGGATTTTTATTGGGGGATAGTAAACACTTTCTGTTTCTTACCAAACATTTGTGAGCCTAGGCTAATTGGTCTCTTGTTTAGAAAATGTTAATCAAATTAGAATCCATTTCTGTGTAAACATTGGGCTTTGGATTTTTTTTTTTTTTTTTTTTTTTTTTTTTTTTGCTTTATATAGAAGCACTGCTTTAGTTAATACAATATTCTCAATTTTTTTGTGGCTAGTTGGTAGACTCAAAGGTGGATTGATAACGTGTCAGTGGTTATGTTCAGGCTCCCCCTGACTTTAAAATTTTAATCTAAATGTGTTCAAATGTGATAAGGACTAGAGTGCAAAACAGAATTCTTTGTTTAATTTATAACTTACATGATTTAATCGTTGTCTGTAAACATGAATTCTTTTACAGAGAAGCTGAAATAGACTCAGTTATTCATCATTTTGAGTATTCTACCTCAAGTTTACTAGATTTTAGACTTTAGTTTTTGATAGCCCAACACCATACCACTGAGTACCAATATTTTTTTCCCAACAATATTTATGGTGGTGCACTGATGGTTATCACCTCCACATTCAACCCACCTAAGGCTGTGTTTGTGTATATATGCATGTAATGCTGTGTGTGTGTATTTTTTTTTTGAGACGGAGTTTCACTCTTGTCCCCAGGCTGAATTGCAGTGGTGCGATCTCAGCTCACTGCAACCTCTGCCTCCGGGTTCAAGTGATTCTCTTGCCTCAGCTTCCCGAGTAGCTGGGATTACAGGTGTGCGCCACCATGCTCGGCTAATTTTGTATTTTTTTAGTAGAGATGGGGTTTCACTATGTTGGTCAGGCTGATCTTGAAGTCCTGACCTCAAGTGATCCACCCGCCTCGGCCTCCCAGAGTATTGCGATTACAGGCGTGAGCCATCACTCCCGGCATGTTTGTATATATTGTAAAGTAGCCTGGAGCAGTCATGTGGGCATTGCCAACAAAGATTGCAGACTGACTAGATGTAAGTAAAAACAGTCCTTCCAAGCCCACTTCTTGCACACACTGATGCCACTACAGAAGAAGTGCAATTTAAAGTTTAAATAGATTTTCCTGGCCCGGAGAGCTAAGGGTGATTTAAAATGTGGCCAAACATAATTAATTAAAACACTTTAGGACAGTCTTCTAGCTTCTTAAAACCTGTCTATCCCTAATCATGTGCTTTTCAAAAGGAAATGTATGGTAAATAAGGCTCACACCTGTAATTCTAGCAGTTTGGGAGGTTGAGGCGGGAGGATTTCTTGAGCCCAGGAGTTCAAGACCAGCCTGGGCAACATGGTGAGACCCCATCTATGTAAAAGGCAACCAAACAAATAAGAAAAAACCTTGAGCTGGGTGCAGTGGCTCATGCCTGTAATGCCAGCACTTTGAGAGGCCAAGACAGGAGGACTGCTTGAGCCCAGGAGTTTGAGACCTGCCTGGGAACAAAATAATCAAAAAATTAGCCAGGCGTGGTAGTGCACACCTGTGGCCCACTTAGTAACATAGGAGGCTGAGGCAGGAGGATCGCTTGAGCCCAGGAGTTTGATATTGCAGTGAGCTGTGATCACGTCGCCGCACTCCAGCCTAGGCAACAGAGGGAGACCCTGTCTCAAACAAAAATAAAATCAGCCAGGTGCAATGACTCGTGCCTGTAATCCCAGCACTTTGGGAGGCTGAGGCGGTCAGAATGCTTGAGCCCAGCAATTCCAGACAAGCCTGGGCAACATAGTGAGACCCTGTCTCTACAAAAGAAAAAAATTAAACCCCAAAAACCTCAAAGGGGCATTGAGGTATAGTTCCACGACTTCCACAGAAGGATTATGTCTGCCTTTATTGACCAGCTGCAGTGTGGTTTGGATCTTTGTGAAGGCTGAAAATTTTGGGGAGAGTGATGAAATTGGATATCACAGATAATTCCATCAAAAGTCTGTTTTAGGGCAACTTATTATGTTTTTATATGGGATTGTTTGGGTGCGGGAAGGGCTTCATCCAGTAACGTGGTCGTCTTGGAGGGCCCTGAGCAGGCTGAGTTAGATTGGTACCTGCTGCTGATTTGCATGTGGCCTATCACGACCACCGAGGGAAACTCTGGCATTTGGAGCTCATATTCTTCCATACCTTGGAGATTTTCAGTAAAAGCCACTATATAGTCATTGTAGATTTCCTACCATCTATTAAGAAAGGAAATCTGATCCAAAACTTCTGAGGTCAAACCATCTTCAAAAATCACTCCAGTTTGACGGTTGTATGTGTAGATTCAAGGTTTTGGCCCCCTGCCCCATGGACAACTTCTGCATTTGAGCCAAATCATTCGAAGGCAAGATTATAGTTGTAGGCTGTGTTACTCCCCAAGTTAGATGAATGACAACTGTTTGTTAATATCTGTAGTTGACCAGTTACTGTAGAAACTGTTCCTTAAACTGATTAGCCCTAACAAAGCTACCGTAGTCTGTTGTCTGTTTTAACAGGAGAATATGCATTTCAAGGGAAAATTGGCAGACAGACCACTCTAGAGATAATCTGGCCATCTGGAATCTGGGGCTATAGAAAATTCTTTCCTGTCAAATAGCTTGTCAGTGTTGGCTAGCACTAGAGGGCCCACATTCATGCGAACATTTTTCTGTGTGAGTGAGGACCCAAAGTGAAGCTTGGTGAGGGTAACCCTGAGCTTGGGACTTTTTGGAAGGACCAGGCTAACATAGTCTGCACTATCTATCAAGTGCTTCTTAAGAGTTACTTTAAACACTCTCCAGAGGACAGTCCTGAGACCAGAAACTTGAGATGTGAGCAGAATCACCAGTTTCCTAGTTGTCTGTGATTGCTCAGGGATTGCCCAAGAGCTAGGGCTCCTTGGCAGTAAACATCAGTAGTAAAGTGGGACAAAGGTGTGGTCGGTTACATACATGTTCTAAAGGCCTCATGGGATGGTAGACTTGAAGGGGTTGGTGCACACCTGGGTCTGTTGGAGATGGCAAGGGCCAAAGTGAGCAGAGGCAACACTTCTGGGAGTGGACAGGCACCATGCAGATTTCCCTGTCTTGGGCTGCACTACACCACTGCCCTGGTGCCAGCCCATCACCCCAGGGCTCTGAACCACCTCCAAGTCACTTACTGAATCTGGATTTTTTTTTTTTTTTTAATGCTTGGTAGTTTTGTTTTCCTTTTTTCTCTTTTTCTTCTTTTTCTCTCCCCTCCCTCCTTTCCTTCTTTTTCTTCCTTTCCTTGTGAAGACTAATTTATGAATTAGTCTAGAATCAGGGTAGTCTTTCTCACTCTATGGGATGTTATTAGCTAACCAAGGTAGGGTTTGAAATCTTGATTCAGTGTTCTCTTAGGCTGACCTCGATTGGGCTGCTACTGGAAAGTACCAATAATAGCTGGTCATTTTGAGCTGAATTTTCCTACCTATTACATTCCTGGAGATTTCCTTTATGTTGCAGCTAAATAATATGTTTCCTTGGGGGCAGTTGCTGCGTCAGGTCTTTAAATTGGCTGGAGTCTTCTGTATTGCTATTTCTGTGTGTCTTATCTTGCTCATAGTACTGCTTGCTCTGGTTTTGATTTGTTGCCTGATGCCTCAACAAGCTTTTGTTTTGTTTGGTTTTTATTTATTTATTTTGTGTATTCAGAAGAACAAGGATGGTATGGAAACATGAGCTGCCCTCAGCTAACCAGTGAGCTCATTAGTCATCCTGAGTGCCCATTACTAATGCTGTTGATTAGTGATCAAACCACTTTCTCCTATTATGATTTAGGTTTAAAATGGCAATGTTGTATTCATTTTTAAACGATTACAACTAAATTGGTCAGGGTACCTGTAGGAATAGTTGTTGAAAATTGCCTTAAAGTGGTTAAGGCATGATATTGAGTCTTGTGGAGTGCATTCTTCTATCTCAGGAGGTTTTTTAAAAATCAATGCGGCCGGGTGCAGTGGCTCACGCTTGTAATCCCAGCACTTTGGGAGGCTGAGGCGGGCGGATCACTTGAGGACAAGAGTTCAAGACCAGCCTGGCCAACATGGTGAAACCCCATCTCTACTAAAAATACAAAACAATTAGCCAGGCATGGTGGTGGGCGCCTATAATCCCAGCTACTCAGGAGGCTGAGGCAGGAGAATCGTTGGAACCCAGGAGGCGGAGGTTGCAGTGAGCCGAGATCACGCCATTGCAATCCAGCCTGGGCAACAAGAGTGAAACTCTGTCTTAAAAAAAAAAAAATAAATGCAAGGAATTCATTGTGATTTATGTTGAGAGAGATCTGAAAACCCGGTGCTAAGTAAGCTTTTAATCTGACTGAACTATGAAAAGTTTAAATTTGATTTTTAACAGCATAACATTCAGTAGAAAGTTTGTATCTCATTGTAACTTCAGTATGTTCTCAGGCACATGTGAATATATTTTTATTGCCAGTTTTCATTTGTGCAGGAACTTGAAAAATCAAAGTTATATAAATGGATACTTTTGTTTCATAATTTGGGCAATTATTTTTTAACCATTTTACCTTCAGGTGCTCTCTGCCATTCCAAATGACACCTGGGAGGATTTTTTTCACCTTCTTCTCTTTTTACACTTCCTAGTTAATATTTCACAGCAGCTCATTTAAGGATGTCTCTCAGAGGTTGAGCAGCTTCTTGGAATAATCAGGGAAGTGTTCATTTCATTTTACTATTCAGGATATTACTTATCAATCATCGTTGGTGTGTAGCAATGTGGACAGTAGCTCTCATGAACATTTCACCGTATTTGGGATTCTAAGGTGATAAGTAGGTCACTTAAGGAACTGTGGTGCTGGGAGAAGGGTTTCCTGTTCACTTGTTAATCATTTAGTGACTAATCAATCTTTAAATATATGAAGGGTTGAAAGGTGTGGAACCCTAAAATTTCTTCTCCTCTACTTACTGCACTTTTTGGAGTGTTAAACATTATTTGTTAGCACCTTAGAGCATGGTTAGCAGCTTAGAAAAAATGTAGAACTCTGATCATTTTGCTTTTCCCCCCACCCTTTGGGACAGTACTGAGGAAAGTATTGGGGTGGGGGGTTTTGGATTTGGATTGTTTTGTTCAATAAAGAGTAATTGGGAGTTGGAGTTGGTTATGACTTTTCTTAAAAAGGGGAAATTTCTTGGTCCATGTGTGCTTGTAATGCATCATCCAGCATTCAATATTTCTGTTCTTACAAGTAACTGGTCTAAATTGAAGCTAAAAGAAATCTTTTTGTGTCTAATCTCTTTAGCAGGAGGAGCAATCTCAGAACTGTTATGAAGACCTTTGAAGTTCTTCATTCTTTCCCACTTTGCCATCATGTGGCCTCTGGACACTGTGGTCAGTCATTTGAAAATTGACTTTAATTTAAAAAAAAGGCGTGTGCCTCCCACCCAGGAGGTGGGAGGGTGAATTTTATGTTTAAATGAAGAAGTGAATTATGGAAGAAGAGTATACGACCTTCCCTTCCCTTTCAAGCATAAGTCCAAATAGACTCTCAGGAATGAAGATTTGTGAAGACATCAGATAGGAATTTTGACTCATTTAAACTTTGATGCCTAGTTATGTTGCTGGAGAAAAAATACCTGTGTTTTGCTCATCTAACTTTATTGTACCCAGCGTCATTTTGACCTGTCATTTCCTATCTCCCATTTGCCTTCTGTCCTCAATGCATGTCCTCGAGTGACTTCTTATCTGAAATTTTGCTACTGGTATCCTAGGAAAACTTTTGTTGCATACTCTCATTTTAAACTTCTCCTCTCCCCTAATACCTCCTATATTTCCATATTGTGTGCAAAGGATGGGCAGAAAAGAAAGTGCTTGAAAGATTTCAAATTTTCAGAAAGGGAACAATGAAGGCCCTCTCTTCCTCCCATACCACATTTTGCCCAAGAAGCCGGGCTGTAACAATTCAGGGTTTTCCCTTGTTTTCCTCTCATTGCATGTTTCCCTCCAATCTTGGTTCATTGTCATTAATCATGGTTTTTGAAGATAGCTAGTTTTATCCATCTCCAGCAATGAATCATCAATAGTTTATATTGCTTTACCTGTGCTGGCTTCCAGAGATGGAAACAAACCCAGGTGTCTCTCAACAAGCTACTTTTTTACTGGGTTGGGGGAATGAATCATCAATAGTTTATATTGCTTTACCTGTGCTGGCTTCCAGAGATGGAAACAAACCCAGGTGTCTCTCAACAAGCTACTTTTTTACTGGGTTGGGGGAATCTATGCAAGGAGTAAAGTAAAACCATCCGAATCAAAGCAGCAAACCACATAGTTCAAATCAAAGATCAAGGTGAATTTTTTGTATCACTGCCTGTGGAAATCTAGCCTCATCAGTCATTGCATTTTTCCCTTCCTGTACCTGTGCTCCTTTTTCTTACTGTGTTTTCAGTCACTTCCTTTCTGTGAAAGGTTGCTTAGCCTTTTTTTTTTTTTTTTTACATTTGTTTTTCTTTATATAAAAATAGCAGATTGGATAGATGTGTACATTTGATGTTTGAAATTCTCTGAAAATCCCATTAGGAAACCAGGTGTGAAAAGGGCTCAGTAGTTCTCTGAGTGGTGTTTTTAGCTGACTGGAAGTGCTTAACCTGGATTGTCTTTTTTTATCAGTATTTTAAAAGGAGAATTTAAATACTGTGCTTACTGTGAAATATATCAGTTGGTGAGCCGGGCGCGGTGGGTCACGCCTGTAATCCCAGCACTTTGGGAGGCTGAGGCAGGTGGATCACCTGAGGTCAGGAGTTCGAGACCAGCCTGGCCAACATGGTGAAAGCCTGTATCTATTAAAAGACAAAAATTAGTTGGGTGTGGTGGCGCATGCCTATAATCCCAGCTACACCGGAGGCTGAGTCAGGAGAATCACTTGAACCTGGGAGGCAGAGGTTACAGTGAGTGGAGATCGCACCACTGCCCTCCAGCCGGGATGACAGAATGAGACTCCATCTCAAAAAAAAAAAAAATATATATATATATATATATATATATATATATATATCAGATATATCAGTTGGTGGATGCTCCTATAGGTAACCAAACACATTGATTACCTTTTAGATTTTAGGATAGAAATCAAAGTAGAGCACGTCAGTAAGAGCCTCTTTGTCTCACTCCATCATTTGGAACCAGTATATTCAGTAGTCGAAGAAAGAGCTCTCCCTGAGTCAGTTGCAAAATGTCTATATTTTTAGATGCCGCTACATTTTTCTTACTCGTTTTGAGACTGTCATGAGTTAGACCAGTGGTTGAGATGAGTTGGTGGCTCACTAGACATATTTTTGTTTTGCAGACATTATATCCATTCCAGTCCTCTGCACTATACACTGCAGCAGTGTGCAAAGTATGGGACTTAGAGGGTTTCTGCCATATTTCCATGTGTGAAGTAGCTTGGTTTCCTTTGCCTGTGCATCTGGATGTTTGTGCTATGTCCACCTCCTAAACTGGTTACTGAGAAAATCATCTTCAGCCCTGTCAGATTGTCTCTGGCGGTAGCTCCTAATAATTATTTATGTTTTTGGAATTTTTTTTTCAACTTTTAAAACCTTCTATCCATTTCAATTTGAATTATTTGATTTGTACAATATATGTATATTCTCTTCCGTTTTGTCATCCCTGCCCTGCCACCCCCAAAATTTTGTTTTTAAAAATATTCTGGGCTGGGCATGGTGGCTCACACCTGTAGTCCCAGCACTTGGGGAGGCCGAGGCTGTTGGATCATCTGAGGTCAGGTGTTTGAGACCAGCCTGGCCAACATGGTGAAACCCCGTCTCTACTAAAAATACAAAAATTAGCTGGGCGTGGTGGCAGGCGCCTGTAATCCCAGCTACTTGGGAGGCTGAGGTAGGAGAATTGCTTGAACCCAGGAGGCGGAGGTTGCAGTGAGCCAAGATTGCGCCACTGCACTCCAGCCTGGGTGACAGAGCAAGACTCCAACTCAAAAAAAAAAAAAAAAAAAAAAATTCTGTAGTTTTGTACAAGATGAGACTTAGCCTTGGGTACTTCTTGCTGAAGCTTTAATGCTTTGTAAATAAAATCGGATGTTTATTAAAGAACAGGTGTAGATGTTTATTTGTAAACACTGCTCACTTCTGGAACTTTCTGGCCACTTTGCTTTAGTACAAAGGAAAATGTGGTTTCCTGTGTTGATACTAGATCTTTCGGTGTGGAAAGATAGATCTGGATGGGGTAGGGAGTGGACAGGTAGTCTAGCTTTCTGTCTCTAGATGAGATTATAAATCAGTGATGTAAGCAGAAAAGTTGTTGATCAAAAAGATCATCTAGTAATGATCTGTCTTCCAATTACTTAACTCAGTATAGTTTTGTAATTACTCTGAAGAGGCCGTAGGACTAGGCATTCTGGAGGTTACAAAAATGCATGCTAGGAAGTTCCTGCCTCCCAAGGATCTTTCTTCAAGTCTACGTAAGTACAGTTAAATTCTTATTAGCCCTTTTTTTTTTTTTTTAATGAAGTAGCTTTAAAATTAAATGCTCATTGTCTCCTAAAGATAAGATGTTTCACAAAGTCTATGTAAGTCTTTGATTTTAATGTCAAATTTGAGGGTCTACTTATTAATCTTTTATGTGATTGAGAACTCCATCTTTGACATCATAGCTGTTTCATAGCAACCTTGACCTATGTGAATGATGAGCTCTGTTCTGTAGGGTAAAGGGAGTAGGCCAAGAGTCAGGAAGCATCATGCATCCTCTCACTCAAAATATATCTTCAGTATCCTTGGGAAGGAAGAGTGCCTAAAAAGGGGAGAGGAGCTGCCTTTAACATAACCTTAAACATTCTGATTTGAAATGGTCATCTTGGCCCTTGTCTTTATGAACTTCCATTTCTATTTAAAATTCCTTACACATTGAACAGTGTTTCACACTTTACAAAGTGTTCTCACGTACAGTATATCATTTGATGCTCAAAGTGACCTTCCTCAGATAGGCAAGGAGGTCTGAAGTTACAAAGGAAGAAACAAATTCAGGAAGGGTAAGTTACTTGCCTCCCAGTCCAGAGTTCTTAATCCTTTTTATAGGAGATTTAGGAGCATTGAAATAATTCAAGTTAATCTTCCTTTTTTTAGACTTTATTTGTTTTTATTTGGTGACATTTAACTGGGGCTTTTGAAACCCTTAATTTAGATCCTGGTTTATAGAGGGTAAGGGTAAGTAAGGGTGAGGAAGAGCATAACTTCACTATACATTTGAGGTAATTTGGAAATTTACTTCAGTTTCTGAAGTCTTTTCTTCTTTGTCTTCCCAAGGGGTGGATTTAAAGTCACTAAAAGAACACGAAAACGGCCAGTGCGGTGGCTCACGCCTGTAATCCCAGCACTTTGGGGGGCTGAGGTGGGTGAATTGCTTGAGCTCAGGAGTTGGAGACAAGCCTCGACAACATGGTGAAACCCCGTATCTACAAAAATAGAAAAATTAGCCAGGGTGGTAGCCTGCACCTGTAATCCCAGCTACCTAGGAGGCTGAGGTGGCAGGATCACTTGAGCCTAGGAGGTTGAGGCTGCTGTGAGCTGTGATCATGTCACTGCACTCCAGCCTGGGTTGACAGAGTGAGGCCCTGTCTCAAAAAAAAAAAAAAAAAAAAAGCAATGAAAAGAATGAAGACTGGTACGGTGGTTATTTTATTAACAACGATAGATAGTAAAGCAACACCATTATGTTTTTTTCCTGCCTTGTCGCCTCACCTGTTTATAAGGACTGGACTTTTATTTATTAAGTTGTGTTGTTTTATTGACAATACATGCATTGTATCTTTTGACTTTGAAGGATATCTCATGTCAAAGGAATCAAGTTATGATTTGTAGAGGATTCAGCTGGAATAGCCTGTGGGTGCTGGCTAAGGGTGGCAAAATGCCTACCGAGACATGAAGATTTTGGCCACTAGTTTTGCCCTTGGGAGCCTGGGGTTGGCCTTCTACCTGCCTTTGGTGGTGACTACACCTAAAACACTGGCCATCCCTGAGAAGCTGCAGGAAGCTGTGGGGAAAGTTATCGTCAGTGCCACAACCTGTACGGTCACCTGTGGCCTTGGCTATAAGGAGGAGACCATCTGTGAGGTGGGCCCTGATGGAGTGAGAAGGAAATGTCAAACTCAGCGCTTGGAATGTCTGACCAACTGGATCTGTGGGATGCTCCATTTCACCATTCTCATTGGCAAGGAATTTGAGCTTAGCTGTCTGAGTTCAGACGTCCTGGAGATTGGACAGGAAGCTTTCCGGTTCACCTGGAGACTTGCTCGAGGTATCATCTCCACTGACGACGAGGTCTTCAAACCCTTCCGAGCCAACTCTCACTTTGTGAAGTTTAAATATGCTCAGGAGTATGACTCTGGGACATACCGATGTGATGTGCAGCTGTTAAAAAACTTGAGACTTGTCAAGAGGCTCTATTTTGGGCTGAGGGTTCTTCCTCCTAACTTGGTGAACCTGAATTTCCATCAGTCACTTACTGAAGATCAGAAGTTAGTAGATGAGGGATTGGAAGTTAATCTGGATGGCTACTCCAAGCCTCACCACCCAAAGTGGAAAAAGAAGGTGGCGTCAGCGTTGGGGATAGGAATTGCCAGTGGAGTGGTTGGTGGTGTGTTGGTGAGGATTGTCCTCTGTGTGCTGAGGGGAGGCCTGCAGCAGTGACAGCCTCAAGAACTTAACAGCCTTGCTCCTGAAGATCTGGCTGCCCAGGAAGCCAAGCTAGCTTTTTAGGGGGGTGTTCTGGCTGCTGGTAGTGGATCAGCTTAGAGGGAAGGCTCCCATAGCCAAAAGAATGAGTAGGAGAAATGGAGGGGACAACCTCCTGGGAGCTATGGGCAGTAATCTAACTTCCTTATGTCCCATGGATCTCTTCCTGATCTTCCCTGCCCATTGGGTACCCAGGAAACTGCAAGCATTGCCTGTGTTCCTGGGAAGAGTTCTAAGAAGCTTGCATTCATTTTCTACCCTTTATAACCTGGATGTCTCCCCGCCTCCATTTCCCCTCTTCTGAGCTGTGTGTTCATGTAGAGGGATGTATTCAGATTTTCTAATGAACATTTTTTTCTTCAATAAAAGTAATTCACGGTAGCTGTATGGAGACCTAACTTTTTCTTTTCTGCTCTTTAGTTTCTTGTATTTGTTTAAATTGTCCCATAATCAGTCTGGCTTCATTTTCCTCAGGTTTCTTAGAATAGACATTAAACAAATTGTCTGCTTTTGGGGGCAGGGGGTGCAGTGCTTAAGCCTGTGACAGGGGTTGTTAGTAATGACATCCGGCTAAGGTGTGTAACAGTCACTAAATATTAACAAATTGCCTGTTCTGCCCAGGTAAATCCCCTGTTTGGTATTAAATTGAATTTCTTGGCAAAACACTAGATTCTTCACCTGGTGGGTTTCCCCTTATTCAGACAGCACCTTGGCTTGCCTGCGCTCCAGTCCTTTTAGCTCTTTCAGTGCCCTGAAGCTTGTATTCCTGGGAAGGTCAAGTATTGGTTTCTTACAGCAGCCAAGGCCCCCAAGGGAGGATTAGTACTTTGATTCCTCCATAGGAAATCCAGTCTTAAGACTCCAAGGCCATTTGGACCATGTCTGAGATAATTGGCTTGTGGAACCATCAGGGAAAGGCTCTTGGCCACCAGCTGAGCTACTTTTTTCTTCCTCTCACTTTTCTCTGGCTACAGGAGGTAGCAGAAACCAAAGACCAGTGATTCTCTAGACATGTGTCAGAATCATCTGGATGATCTTGTGAAAAATAAAGTTTCTTGAGCTCTAATCCAGACATTGCTAACTCAGTTTAAATTATGGTCAGAGGATCCTTATTATTTCTTTTACTTTTAACTTGTAAAAATTTCAAACCCATAGAAAAGCTGAAAGAAATGTTTGGTGACCATCCATAGACCTTTTACCAAAATTCACCAGGTAGTAACATTTTGTCACAATTATCTTTCTCAATATAGATTGATTTTGCTAAACCATTTGAAAGCTAGTCACAGACATTGCAACTCTTTACTCTTAAACCATGTATGCATCTCCTAATAAGGATGTTCTCCTCTGTAACCACAGTATCTTCATCACACTAAGAAAATTAATTTCTGGCTGGGCATGGGGTGGCTCACGCCTGTAATCCCAGCACTTTGGGAGGCCAAGGCAGGCAGATCATGAGGTCAGAAGATCGAGACCATTCTGTTTTACACGGTGAAATCCTGTGTCTACTAAAAGTACAAAAAATTAGCTGGGCGTGGTGGCGGGCACCTGTAGTCCCAGCTACTTGGAAGACTGAGGCAGGAGAATGGCAAGTTTTTTTGTATTTTTAGTAGAGATGGGGTTTCCCCATGTTGGCCAGGCTGGTCTCGAACTCCTGACCTCAGGTGATCTGCCTGCCTTGGCCTCTCAAAATGTTGGGATTACAAGCGTGAGCCACTGCTCCCAGCCAAGGTTGACCCACTATTGATAGTAAGCTTGATCATTTGGTTAAGGTGGTGGATGGCCAGATCTCACCACAGATGTGTGGGGGGTGTGTGTGTGTGTGTGTGTTTTTCCCCTTTGTAATTCATAGTCTGTGGGGTAATACTTTATGGTTATATGGCTCTCCAAAACTGTTCACATATTTTGGCATCCATTGTTTTTGCCTTGTTCATCATTACACGTTGGGGACTGCAAACTGGCAATTCTTTACGTTCATCTTACCTATATTAGCCTGCATTTCTCTGTAAAGAAGAGCTTACTCTTTTTACCCTCTTTTTATTTTTGAGGTCTCAATAGATTCTTCTTATTCAGTGAACTGTATATAATCCATTATCATTTTCTCTTTTAACTTTTTAGGTTTAGGGGTACATGTGCAGGATTGTTGCATAAGTAAACTGCAGTTAATGGGGGTTTGGTTTTCTTTATGTTCAAATTGTCCCCAATTTTGGCCAGTAGAAGTACCCTCAGGCAAGCTCTTTTGCCCTTTTGCTGAGGTTTTATTTGACATTGAGCATTTTCTTGCTTCTAGTTCAACGTGGTATCAAGTTCACATTTGGACTCTCCTTGCCCCAAACCTGAATCTGGTCCTCTTTCCCCAAGGAACC